GGCGCTTTGGTGGCAAGGCGGAGTTGGGTAGTAAACGGGTCATTTGAGACTTCGCAGCTCTTTGGGTGGTTGCGAATTGTGCCATGTTCGCCGTTTTCGTTGGCTCTTGGGAGGCGCAGTGGAGTCGGGGAGTAAACGGATCATTTGAGATTTCGCAGTTCTTCGGGTGGTTGTGAATCGTGCAGTTGTCGCCATGGTCGTGGGTTCTTGGGAGGTATGGCGGAATCCGGGAGTAAACAGATCAGTTGAGATTTAATGTTCCATGGGTTGCTGCGAATTGTGCAATTGTCGCCATTGCCCTAGGTTCTTGCGAGGCAGAGCGGAGTCGAGGAGTAACCGGATCAGTTGAGACCTCGCAGCTCCTCTGGTGGTTGCGAATGGTGCAGTTGTCGCCAGTTTCGCGGGCTCATCGTAGGCAAGGCGGAGTCGGGGAGCAGACGGACAGTTTGAGACTTCGCAGGTCTGTTGGTGGCTGCGAATTGTGCAACTGTCACCATGTTCGCGTGATCTTGGGAGGCACGGTGGAGTCGGATAGTAAATGGACCAGTTGAGACCTCGCAGCTCCTTGTTAGGTTGCGAGTTGTACCATTTTCGCCGCGATCATCACGGCGGAGTCGGGGAGGAAACGGATCAGTTGAGACCTCGCAGCTCTTTGCGTGTCTTCTTTGCCCCTCGTTGCTCCATGGGTCGTTGCGAACTGTGCAAGTGCCACTACGTTCGTGAGTTCTTGGGAGGCACGACGGAGTCGGGGAGTAAACGGACCATGTGAGATTATGTTGTTCCTGGGGTGACTACGAATTGCGCAGTTGTCACACTCCCGTTGGTTAGTGGGAGGCATGGCGGAGTCAGGGAGTGACCTGATCATTCGAGATTTCGTTCATCCTGTGGGAAAACACACACAGTGTGTGTGTGTTTTTTTCCCACAGTGCGTGTGCGTGTGTGTGTGTGTTTCCCCACAGTGTGTGTTTTGTTTTCCCACAGTGTGTGTGTGTGTTTTTTGTTGTTTTGCGTGTGTGTGTTTTGTGTGTGTGTGTTTTCGTTTGAGATTTTGTTGATCTTTGGGCGTTGCGAATTGTGCAACTGTCGCCACTACCGTGGGCTTTTTGGGAGGCGCGGCGGAGTTGGGGAGCAAACGGATCCTTTGAGACCTCGTTGTTCTTTTGATGTGGCGATTTGTGCCATTGCCGCCGTTTCGTGTGGCTCTCGGGAGCCACGGCGGAGCCGGGAAGTAAAAGAACAGCTTGAGTTGCCGTGGTTCTTTGTGTGGTTGCGAATTGTCCATCTGCCGCCTTTTTCGTGAACCCTTGGGAGGCACGGCGGAGTCTGGGAGTTAGCACGGATCATCCGAGGCCTCGCATTTTTGTGTGTGGTCGCGATGATGTGCGATTGTCGCAGCGTTCGGAGGGTCTTGGGAGGTACATCGGGGTCGGGGAGTAAGCGGATTTCTTGAGATGTCGTCGTTCTTTTGGGTGGTTGCTCGAAGTGTGCAATTGTCGCCATTTTCGTGTGTTCGTGCGAGGCTGCGGAGTCGGAGAGTGAATGGATGGATCCTTTGAGGTTGTGCAGTTCCGTGTGTGGTTGCGAATTGCGCAGTTGTCGCCACAGTCGTGGGCTCATCGGAGGCACGGCGGAGTCGGGGAGCACGCGGATCATTTGAGACTTCGCAGCTCATCTGGTGGTTGCGAATGGTCCAAATGTCACCCTTTTCGTTGGATCCTGGGAGGCACGGCGGAGTCGGGGAGTACACGGACCATTTGAGACCTCGCAGTTCTGTGCGAGGTTGCGAATTGTCTCGGTTTCGCCACCTTCGTGGGTTCCCGGGTGGCACGCCGGAGCAGGGAAGTCAACGGATCATTTGATGCTTCGGTGCTCCCTGGGTGGTTGCAAATTGTGCAGTCGTCGCTACTTTCGTGGGCTCTTGGGATGAAAAGCGGAGTCTGGGATTAAACTGGTCATTTGAGACTTGGCATCTCTTTGTGTGGTTGCAATTCTGAGCAAGTGTCGCCACGTTCGTGGGCTTCTGGGAGGCACGGCGGAGTCGGGAAGTAAACAGATCCTTTGAAACATCGTTGTTCCCTGGGTGGTTGCGAATTGTGCATTTGTCGGGGTTCAGACATTTGCTGTCATGCGGGAAGTGCACCATCCTCGAGCGGGCACGCGTGGAAGGCTGGTTCCGGAATTAGTTACCATGGCGGGAAGTACACCGTCTTCGAGCGGGCACGCGTGGAAGGTGGGTCCAGAAATTAGCTGCCATGGCGGGAAGTGCACCATCGTCGATGGGCACGCATGGAATGAGGGTTCAGGCATGAGCTGCCATGCGGGAAGTGCATGCTCCTCGAGCTGGCACGCGTGGAAGGGGATTCAGACATTAGCTGTCACGCGGGAAGTGCACCATCCTCGAGCGGGCACTCATGGAAGGGGGAGTTTGAGCTGCCACGCGGGAAGCGCAACATCCTCGAGCGGCAACGAGGGAAGCGGCCTCGGTGCGCAGGGGGGATGCACGCCATTGTCTGCTAGTGGAATCCGGAAAACCCTACCAGACAGACCCCTTGGCACTCTTCCACGCCTCAACGTGCCAGTGGGGCACGGTGGCGGATTCATTGGTTTCGAAGTCCTTCTCATGAACACACATAAGGGCGTATCTTTCACAAGCCGAGCTCGCTGAAGAGCATGTTTGTCCAGAAGTCAGCTGTGTTATTTTCGTCCTGCTGGTAGCAGACGTAGATTCACCATTAGTTTCGCCTCCTTCTGCCGCACAGATATGAGTGCTGTGAGTCATAAGCTGGTAGCTGTGAGCTTCCTGGCCGCGCTGTTTTGATGGAGGACGCTGACGCGCGCCCGCTGAACCAGGAAGTTCTAGGGAAGTGCGTTTCAGAAGACGCGTCTACGTCTACATACATATGGATATATGACCAGCCTTGCGCTAACATCTTTGTATCTATATCTATAGATAGAGGGAGTGATAGTCTAGGTTATAATATTTCGGATGGCTTGGAACAGTGACTTAAAATGGCCACCACACACAAGGCTCAACATCCAAAACCTCTACCGAGCCACGCCCTCGTTCCGTGCAGCTTCAGGACCTTGAATGGCAGCGCCGGAGGCTTGCGAGTGTGATGGAGCCCCCCCGCGGGAGGCTTGCGAGTGTCATGGTTCCCCCGACGGTGCTGCCAGCGTCATGAACACCGAGAAGCGACCAGGGCTCATCCATCCGAGTTGTCCGATCCACTGGGCGGTGTAAGTCACCGCGGTCATGGCGATACTGAACGACTCGTGGATGACAGACCGCTATTCTCTTTAAATATATCGAAGACGCCTACAGCGAATCACCGCCACTCCTTGCCCCTTGGAATCGCCCATGTGGCCGAGCGTTGTGGCAAGAGCTCTGCCAAGCCATCGGACCATGTGTTCCCCCAGCCGCTGTGGAAACCCTTCAGGGAACACCGGGGGGAGAATGGTGGGAAAGATCCGGAGGAGGAGAGGGAGGAGGAGGGGGCGTCTTGGGAGTTTCGGGGGGCACTTTTGGGGCCTCCTGGGAGTTTCTTGGGAGCTTCGTGGAGGCATTTTGGGGACCTCCTTGGGCCTCTTGGGGCCTTTGACGGTTTTTCGGGAGCTTCCGTGGCCGTCTTAGCGCATTCTTGGCCCGCCTGACGCCGCCGGAAATTGTCTTGGGGGCCTCTCTGGGCCGATTTGGGGCCATCTTGGGGTGCTCCAGGGCCGTCATGGAGGCCATTCTGGGCGTTTCGGGGGCCCCTTGAGCCGTGTTGGGGACATGTTGGGCCGTTTGGAGGCCATTTTGGTTGCCTCTTGGGCGATCGCGGGGCGGTTTTGGGCGTTTGTGATTTTCAGGGTTCCCAGGATGGGGACGGATGCTTTCATTCTCCCGCTGCTGTTTTGGTCCAAGGCAACGCCGCCCGATCTGCTATTGTAGGCGGCGTTGCCTGCATTTGACGCGCGGTGTTAACAGTTAGCAGGAGAAACGGGCCCTTCTTCTCTCCCATCACCATCCATTTTCCCGACATCCCCGCACCATTTACTTGGTTCTACACAGTCACGTCTTGGAGCTACCGCTGGAAATTTGGTGTCGGAGCTGCTGCAGCCGCGGCAGCTCTGCTCACCACCGCCCGTACGCACGATGTGTACAAAAGGGCTATTGCCCGCGGGACGACTGCAATATTCGCAACTGGTTCGTGTACGAGTTCGACCGCTACGCGGGCCCCCACATCAGCGCGACCACTTGGCCTACTCCCGGAACTCACGCCACCGACGCGCGAGGAGGCTCGACTCAGGAGATGAAGGGCTTCCTTTCCATCAACGCGCTGTCGGGCGCGCGAGGGCCCCCGACCGCCACAACGACATCGACAACATCTACCACTGCGTCTTCGACTACGACCTCATTCTTCTCCACTCGTTGAGACACGAATGAACCGCTACTCTCCATGGTATTTATTCTTTCCTCTTTGATTTCGACCTCGTCGACCTTCGTGCGCAGAGACGCAAGCGACCCGATCATCTTTGAATCTCTGACTTTCAGATTCGCTGGCTCGCGAACTTTCTTTGGCACCAACCGATCGTGAGAAAGCGACAGACACCACTACCTCATCCGGAAATTCATCAATTACCCCCTGCCTTTTTCCGTAGGATTCATTATCTGGGAGCGGTGGCATAGGCCACCGGTGCCATATCGGCCACGTGAGCCGAGAACGAGACGGAGATCAAACGAGAGGCTTCGCATTGGACCCAGCAGGCTACCGCATCAAGCGTGGACCAGAAAATCCCACGCGCGGCTCAAGGCCCGTTCTGGACGCGCGACGCCGTCGCAATGGGCTGCTTTATTGCAGCGTGGACTCCGGGGCTTGGCCGGGACTTCGGCCATGAGAACACTTCCGGCCGCCGTTAATTCCGGCGCAGAAGTCAACGGGGCACGAATCCCATGCGTTATCCGGCACGACTGTTCGAGAGCTTGCAAGACGAGACCACCTAATGAAGAATTCGAGTTGATGGAATTCCGGGCGCAGCCGAACGGGCGCATCGACCGCGCCCCTGCCAGATGGGAGACCGCCAAGGTGGAGGCAGACGCGGCGGGGCGGCCCCCCGAGACGTTCATGGCTTGTTTGGGGCCTTCCCGAAGGAGGGGGCTTCCCCGGAGGCCCGCGCGAAAAGCCCTGGAAGTGCCGGGGGGCGCCAAGGAAACCGAAGCCTTGGGCCTTCCAGAACATCACGCACCTTTTATTCTACGGGCTGCACGAGCCTCGGGGCACTCGAGTTCGCGTTGAAGGCGCGGCGGTGGATGCGCGGCGCAATCTTTACGGCGCGCAACATTTGCGGCGCAGCCGACGCTGTGCAATCGACGCAGCGCAATCGATTCGGATTTTTTTTTTTTTTTTTTTTTTTTTTCTCTCTCTCTCTCTCTCTCTCTCTATATATATATACACACATACATGCACATATACATATAACGGGTGGCCAGGTCCAGGAGCCAGGGGCCAGAGCCTCGACCTCAAACGTGGGGCCCGGGGCCCCGGCTCGCCTCTGGGCGGCTCAAAATCGCCCCGGGGAGCTCTCTCTCCATCAGCAGTCCCGGCGGCCCCAGACGGTCTCGAGACGCCTCCAAGACGCCGCCCAGGGGTCTCCGGCGACGCACGACGCGTGTTAACCTGCCCCTGAGGCCCCCAAGAGGCCTTTAAGATGCCGCCCAAGAGCGCCCCGAGAGGGCAAAATCGCTGATTTTGATGAATTGTTTGTTTCGCGTTTTTTGTTTTGCATTCTCGTTGTTTCGCGTTGCCGGCGCTAGAGCGCCGCCCAAGCTGCCCCCAAAGCCGCTCCAAGACGGCCCAAGAGGCCCCCGAGAGAGCCCCGAGACGGCCCGAGAGAGCCCCGAGACGGCCCCGGCGCCGCCCGAGACGGCGCAGGAGGGCCCCAAGAAGGCACCCAAAGGGGCCCGATGCCCCAAGAGGCCCTAATATGCTTCCAGGAAGCCCCCGAGAGGCCCCAAGAGGCCCCCAAGAAACCCCAAAGAGGCACCCAAGAAGCCCAAAAGAGGTTCCAAGAGGCCCCAAGACGGAACCCAAATGCTTCAAAACTCGTTCTAAGAGGCCCCCGAAGACACGCCGAGATGGCCCCGTGACGACTTCAAGAAGCAGTCGAGGATGCTCCGAGGAGGCCCCGAGAAGCTGCGAAGCGCGCGCGATGGTTCTAGTGTGTGTATATATATACATATATATATATAAAAAACACATATATATATATATTTATATATATATATATATCATATTATATATATATTATCCATGTATATATATACATGTATATATGTATATATATATATATATATATATATGTGTGTGTGTATGTATATAGATATGTGGCCCAAGCTATGCGCTACAACCGACGTCGCGCAATCTGCCCGGCGCAATCTACGCGGCGCTGCTGATTTCACAGGCGGGTTGACAGACCCTAGACGCTTCGCGCAACCCCATTGGCCCATCCAGAAACGATGCCCGGGCGAGGCGCCCGGGGGGCCTCCTGGGGTGCATCGTCTCGGATGCCTCGGGGATCCTCTTGAGGCTGCTTGGGAGTCTCTGGGGGGCCTCGTGGAGGCCTCTATGGCGCCTCTCGGGGACGTCTGGGCGCCTCTCGGGGCCCCCTCGGGGCGCTCCGGGAAGCTCGGGGGGCGCCCCCTGGGCCGCCTTGGAGGGCGTCGGTCAGGAGACAGGGGGATTCCAAGTAGCGCTGCCCCTCGGGGGCATCTAAACTTGCATCTGGGGGCGCGCCTGGGCGCTCTCGGGGCCGCGCTGGGGCTCACTCGGGGCCCTCTCGGGCCATCTTGGGGCCGCCTCGAGGCCTCGGAAGGCCATCGGATGCGAAGAGGCGGCCTAGCAAAAACGTAGAATTCGCCATTGCGTTTTGACAGATTCTGGCTTCTGGAGCTCTCGGGCCGCGCCGGGGCGGTCGCGGGGCCGCCTGGGGCGCCCTGGGGGCCACCCTGAGCCATCTTTGTGCATCTTGAGTCGTCTTGGAGTTCATCTCGGGCTCCCCCGCGCGCTCTCGGAGCCATCTTGGACGCCCCGACCCTTCGCGGAACCCCCCGCCGGGGGCCGGGGCAGGGGGGCAGGGGCGGGCGGGTGGGCGGGGGGGGGGGGGGGGGCCCTTTCCCGAGGTGGAAGGCGGGGGTTCGAAGAGAAGACGCCTTGGACCACCCGCGACCGAAACGGCAGGCGGGGTTCCGCGCGCACGCAGACGCCCCGCCCGCTCTCCCACAACTTGGTTTGCATGGCCCATGCGGCGGCGAGCGCGATGGGCGCTCGGCGTTGACTGGTGCATCCGCGGCCGCGCCAGCCCGCGCATGCTCGCGCGCGCAGCGGCTGGCTAGTTTGGCGCGGCCGACGCGGCCGCAGCGGCGCTGGCTGCTGGGCATCTCCCAGCGGGCACTTCAGCGCGAGTCGATGACGTGGGCGGGCGCTGCACGATGGCGACGCCGACGGCGGCGAACGCGACTGCGAGAGCGGCGACGACGGCGGCGACGACGGCGACGGCGACGGCGATGCCAATGGCGTCGTCGATTCCGATCACGCCCGCCGATGACAATAGCGACGTCCTCGCGTCGGCGATGAGGGCGCCCCAGGGTGTTCGACGCGCGCGCGGCCGGCGCTCGCGAGTGGCCCGCGCGGCGTCGCGCGACGCGGATCGCGCGCCCCCCCCAATAGAAAAAAAACACAAAAAAAAACACGCGCGCGCGGACTCTCAAATTGGAGCGACGCGCGGCCCGAGAGGCCCGCCCGCCCGGCAGAAGTCGATGAAAGTAATGGGACAGTAATGGAGAACACGCGGTTCCTCGTTTCTCCAGAATCCGCCTGTCTGCGAGCGAAGGTTGCTCGTGTTTTTGGAAAATTGGCGTTGCAAAACTTTGCGCCCCATGTTCTGGGGGGTCCCGTTCTTGACATCCGCGCGAAACCTGCGATTCTTGAAGGATCTCGGCGCGCGCGCCCGCGGCGCCCCATCTGTTGCAGGATGCCCGCGACAGCGCGCGCGCAAGGGCGCTCGAGCGTTCCCGACGCCCGCGCTCAGGAGGCCCGCTTGGTAGGACGATATGGACACGTTGAAAAGCACGGTCTCCTTATGCATTTGCAGGGGCGCAGGCGCATTTTTCCGTTTTTGGAAGACCGTCGCTGCGAAACGATGCGTTTTCTATATGTCCCCTGGGCGCTCGATTTTGAAACCCTGGCGAAACCAAAGGTGTTTGACGGGCGTCGGCGCGCGCGCGACGACGCTCGCGCTACGTCTCATCTCTTGCAAGGGGTTCTTGAGAGATAATGCTTCGCGATAAGCGAGTGCGCGCGCATAGTGCCGGCGGCGGGGGGCGGGGGCGGGTCGAACTCCAGGCCGGCTGGGGCGGCATCAACTCATAGGGGAAATGCGCAAGGAGGCAGACACACATGTTAATTGTAATGCGCGGGGCTGGGCCGATAAGTCCGGGGGGGCGATGGGGGTTGAATCTAGTTTGTAAGAAAGGAGAACCCACGAGGTTGAGGCGCGATCCACGCGGTGCAATTCGCCCCGCCGAACTTGAAGTCGCCTTCCCCACTGCCCGCGCAAACGCCCCGCCCACCCACCCGCGATTTGGTTTGCAAGTCCCATGCGGCGGCGATTGCGATGAGCTTTCGGCGTTGGCTGGTGCATCTCCGCGGCCGCGCTGGCCCGCGCATGCTCGCGCGCGCAGTGGACAGCTAGCGCGGCGCGACCGACGCGGCCGCATAGGCGCTGACCGCTGCGCACTTCCAGCGGGCACTCCAGCGCGAGTCGGCGACGTGGGCGGGCGCGGCGTCGCGGCGACGCCGACAGCGGCGGGCGCGAGAGTGGCGACGATGGCGGCGATGGCGACGGCATGGCCGATGACGGCGCCCACATTGATCATGCCCACCAGCAACGATTACGATGTCCTCGCGACGGCGATCAAGTTCGCGGAAGGAGTCCGACGCACGCGCGCGGCTGATGCGCGCGAGTGGCCCGCGCGGCATCATTTGGCGCGGGTCGTGCCCCCCAGCGCGCGCGCGCGGCGGCGCTCGGATGAGTTCGGCGCGCGGCGCGAGAGGCCCGTTTGGCAGATTTGGATGGCAACGTTGAAATCCGATGGTGGTTTTCCGCAGAGTTCGCCAGGGCGCGCGCGCAGGCATTTCCTGAACACTGAGGTTGCAAAACCATTGCTCCGATATGTTTTCGAACGCCGTTTTTTATATAGAAAAGCCGTGCGAAACGCATGGTTTTTTGAGGAAGTCAGCGTGCGCGCGCGACGACGCGCGCGTGCACTTCGCCCCATGTGTTGCAAGGAATTCTTGCGACAGCACCCGCTCGGAGGCGTCAGTGATTTCGACGCGCGCTTGGCCCGCTGAGTAGCATGTCGTGAGAATGTCGGGAACTCTGTGATCTGCTTAAGAGTTCGCCAGATCGCGGGCGCAGGCTTCTTCTTCAAACTCTCGTTGCGAAACCATGTTTTATGTTGCCGGGGCGCTCGATTTTTGAAATCTCCACGAAGCTTTAGGTGTTCGAGGGGCTCTGGCATGCGCGCGCGACGACGCGCGCGCGCACTTCGCCAAATCTGTTGCAAGGGAGTCTTGAGAAATTGCGATTTGTGGTGAACGAGTGCGCGCGCATTGTGTTCTTTGCGGAGGGTGAGCGGGGGGGGGGGGGGGGGGGGGGGGGGGGGGGTGCGAACTCCAGCGCGCTTGGGGTGGTACGAATTCATGTTTAGGACATGTAAATTTGACATCCCCAGGGGGTGCTGATGAGTTTGGCCTCGGAAGGGCGGAGGATCCTTTTTTTTTTTCTCCTTAGGAATGAGAATTGATTTTTACTCGTGGGTTGGCGAAGTCCACGCAGTTGCAAACATCCCACCCGCCCGCCCACCCACGACTTGGCATGCAAGCCCGCGCGGCGGCGATTGCGATGAGCGTTCGGCGTTGGCTGGTGCATCTCTGCGGCCGCGCTAGCCCGCGCATTTTCGCGCGCGCAGTGGCCAGCTAGTTTGGCGCGACCGACGCGGTCGCGGCGGCGCTGACCGCCGGGCACTTGCCCGCGGGCGCCCCAGTGCGAGTCGGCGACTTGGGCCGGCGCGGCGTCACGGCGACGCTGACAACGGTAGATGTGCTTATGAGAATGGCGACGATGGTGACGACAGTGGCGATGACGACGGCAAGGCCAATGACGGCGCCGACGTTGATCACACCCGCCAGCAACGATGACGATGTCCTCGCGTCGGCGACGTAGGTTTTTGAAGGAGTTCGACATGCGCGCGCCGCCGACGCGCGCGAGCGACCCGAGCGGCATCGCTCGACGCGGACCGCGCCCCCCCCCCCCCCCCTCCCAGCGCGCAGGGGCGTTCGAAAGAGTTCGACATGCGGCGCGAGGCGCCCGCTTGGCAGAATTTGATGAACGCGGTGGAAAACTTGTGGTTTTCTCGAGAATCCGCAAGACTGCGAGCGCAGTATTTCTTTCGAAATTGACGTTGCAAAACAATGCGCGTTGACATGTTTTCGCGACTCTCGATTATGATATCCGCGCGAAACCTAAGGTGTCTGAAGGATTCCTGCACGCGCGCGCGACGACGCGCGCGCGTGCTCTTCGTCACATATGTTGCAAGGGGTTCTTGCGACAGCATGGTCGTCAGGGCGTTCGAACGATTTCGACGCGGGAGCGAGAGGGCCCCGCTCGGTAGCACTATATGCTAGCGTTGGAAACCGACATTTCTTTACAGAATTCGCCAGAACGCGGGTGCAGATGTTTTTTTGGTTTTGTGTTTCTGTTGTGTTGGAACCTGTTGTTGCGAAGCATGTGTTTGCAGGTTATCGAGGCTCTCGATTTGGCAATCCTTACGAAACTTCGGGGGTTTCACGGATTTCGGCATGCGCGCGCGACGAATCGCGCGTGCCCTTCGTTTCATATATTGCAATGGGCGTTTGGGGAATGATGATTGGTGATAAACGAGTGTGCGCGCATCGTGTTTTTGGCAGAGGATGAGGGTGGTCGATAATATATGCGGTGCCCAACCTATGTGGTGCAACCGGTGTTGCGCAGTCTATGTGGTACAATCTATATTGTCAAATTCGCGTTGCGTAAACTACTGGGCGCAATCCATTATGTGCAAAACTTGCGGTGCAACCTATGTGGGAAAAACGTTGTGCCATCTGCGCGGTGCAACCCACGGGGCGCAACTCACCTTGCCGATTTTGAAGTTGTCAAGTCCATTGCTCGTTCAATCATCCCACCCACCCACCCGCAACCTGGTTTGCAAAACCATGCGGCCGCGATTGCGATGACTGCTTGGCGAGAGCTGGCGCACCGCTGCTGCCGCGCTAGCGCGCGCGTGCTAGCGCTCTGGCGCTAGCGCGCACAGGCGGCCCAGCTAGCCTTGCGCGACGGAGACGGCCGCGGTGGCGCTGACCGCCGGGGAAGTACCAGCGCGTGTCGCACGCGCGTTGGCGCGCGGGCACTGCAATGCGAGTCGGTGACTCGGGCGGGCGCCATGTCATGGCAAATTCGACAACGGCTGACGCGATGATGATTGTAGCAATTTTAGTGGCGACGATGGCGATGACGACGGCAAGGCCAATGACGGCGCCGATTCTGATCTGGCCGATGACGATGATGGTGTCCACGCGCTGGCGAGGAACGTAGTGGGACGATCTCGACATGCGCGCGCGGCGGACGGGGGCGAGTAGCCCGCGTGCCATTGGTTGACCGGGCGTGTGCCCCCCAACCCCGCGCCCCGTATGCGCGCAAGGGTGATTTCAACATGCGTTCGCGAAAAACACGTTTGGTCGTTTGGTCAGAGCCGATGCCACATATATGTTATACTTACACAGGATCGAATGGTTCGCAAGAGCGAGCGCGCATATTTGTTTTGACAAGCGCTGTGCAAAACCATCGTTTGGTTCATATTTTTTCGGGGCGTTCGTTTTTGAAACCCGTACGAAGCCTAAAAAGTGATGGATTTTGGCATGCGCGCGCGACGACCTGCGCGTATGTATTTCGTCCCGCTGTCCTGTTTCCAGGGATTTGGGGAAATTGAAGATTTTCGATGAACGAGTATGCGCGCATAGTGTTCTGGGCAAGGGATGAGGAGCGCCTGGCCTGGCCGGGCTGTTGAATGCGCAACGGGGCACAATCATACGTAAATCGCAAGCCCGCACGCCGAATGGATAAAACGGAAGCGGGTGGTAGATCTAGCCCTTTTTAAAAAGAAACTTGACAACAGCCGCGCATCAGGAACACATCAGGATCGCGCGGATCTGATGAAGTGTCAGCATCGGCTGCCCGCATCAGGATCGCAGGCTGCGCGGATGCCGTGTTAGGGTGGTGCGTCAGCGTTAAGAGCTCCTGAGTGCGAGCATTGTTTGGGGAACATTTTCCATGACCAAGCGCAGAACACATTGTAATCGAAAGGGATATCGAAAACAATGCAGCATGCAATTCCATTAGCATTCGGCAAGCAACTCAAATGCAAATAAAGAAGATGTTTAAATGAACAGACGGATTTCTCATCCATACACTCCCCACACACCACACCACATAACCTCCTCATCGCCCTAAGGGTGGTCCATGAGGTAAATTCGCACAGAGCCGACGCCCATGCCAAGGGGACACACTACATGCAGGGGCAGGACTGCTGGAGCGGAATGGCAGACATAAGACGGGCGCGATGGGGATGTGAGGGAGACAGCGCGGCCGTCATCATACAGCAGTAACGGCGTGATTTTCCCCAGCCATTGCCACATGTGAACGCCAAGAGATGTAGGATTGGAACATGGAGCCAGATCCCCAACACGCCCTGGGTTCGAACACCCAGCCGGATAGGACAAGTTGTACAGATTTGTTTAGGTGCAAGTTCTTTCAGCGAGCATGATAATTACGCTACTTGTCGACGGACAGTGTTTCACGAGCGAGGCCGAGAATGTGTGCGTCGACTTCGTTATCCGGTGGCGTTGCCGCGCCTGGCCTCCCCCGCGATCGGGGTAGTTGCGCGGCATCGTCGCAGCGCCGCAGGGCCCCCTTCGGGGGATTGGGCCTCCTAGGCCGCGGGGGCGCGGACTGGGATCTTGCCAGACACGTGTGGGGATTTTGTTGGATAGCATTGTGTTCCGTTGTGTTGTGTCGTATGTGTTTTAATCAATGTCGGCGTCGTTGTCGATAGACGGTGTTTCCATTGTTGTGGGCATCCCAGCGGCCTCCTGGACACTCATTCTTGTCGGGAGCAACGATAGGGGGTGATAGGCATAGGGAGGGATGCATCGAACCCGAATCGCCCGACGGCGCCGCGACAGCTGGAGACCGCCCCCAAAAAAACGGCTGCGAGAGGCCCGACGGCCCATGAGAGCCTCAAGACGTCCTCACAAGCATCCAAGACGCCCAAACTTGGCCCCAACAGGACCCCCGCAGGGCTCGTTTCGATTCCTCCGATTTGATTCGATTTCGATGGATTCTGGTTCCCATTCGATTCGATTTCGGATTCCAATTTGGGTTCAGATTCCCTACTGGAGGCACACTAGCCTGCCGATTTCCGCCGATTTGACTTCTCCCGATTCGGCTACCGATTTCCGCCGATCCGATTCATTTCGATCGCCGATCCGAATTATCGATTCGATTCTGGGCTCTCCTGCAAACTTGGCCCCAACAGGACCCCGGTAAGAGGCCCCCAAGGAGTGAAACACACGGGCAGATGCCGCCGTCACCAGATGTCTTTGGACAGTCGTCTAGCCGTCCCGGGAGGTCACGTGTCGGCAGTTGGCATGCCTCAGGCAAGGCGGGGCTATCTTGGGCAGGCCGTCGGTTGCCCTGAGGCTGGTGGAGGAGTGGTCTGAAGGAAGCGGGTCCTGAGGGAAACTGCTCCTGGTCCCCGGGGCCGCCCCCCCAGGCCAGTTTTCCATCCTGACCCGTTGCCTGGCAGGGGCCAGTCAGCGGGAGGTCCTCAAAAGCCCGGAAGCGGCGGGACAAGACGGAAGTTTTGTCCTTCAGGGCCCGTTTGCTTGGTGGAGAGCAGGAGCGGCCCGGAGAATGGGAGTGCCAGCCAGGGGGCGTGTCAAGCTCGGCGGCGGGAAGTTTTCGAATCTTCCCCCGAAGACACAAAAAAAACCTTTCAGAACGCGCGAGGCCTTCTGAGAAGCTCCGCCGCCTTCTGAGAAAGCCTTCTCCTTCTCATCTCCTCCCCTCGCTCGCCGCCGAGTTTGCTTGACGGAGAGCAGGAGCGGCCCGGGGAACGGGAGTGCCAGCCAGGGGTGCGTGTCAAGCGACGGGCAGTGAGTTTCGTTGGTGGTTGTCTCTGCTCTTCGGGAGGGCCGGGAGCCAGGCGACGTCGGAGCCAGGCGAAGATGCAGTTCGGTTCCTCCTCCTCCTCCTCCTCCTCCTCCTCCTCCTCCTCCTCCCTCTCCTCCTCCTCTCTCTCCTCCTCCTCCTCCTCCTCCTCCTCCTCCTCCTCCTCCTCCTCACTCCTCCTCCTCTTTCCTCCTCCTCCTCCTCCTCCTCCTCCCTCCTCCTCCTCCTCTCCTCCTCCTCCTCCTCCTCCTCCTCCTCCTCCTCCTCCTCCTCCGGCGCGAGGGTCTGCACACTGCTTTGCAGGAGTCGGCGGCGAGCGAGGGGGACGTGAGGGTGGGCTGGCCTCCCCAGAGAAGGTTCGGAAGTCCCCCGGCCTTCGGAGACAGTTTCTGAGCCTTCCCCGAAGGCTCGGAGGTGGACAGACCTCCTACCCTGACACGTCGATTAGTGAATTGGCCGTTTTCGGTTCGCGAGAGGGCGTCTGGGCCGTAAATTTTTCGGGTCCAGGTCCGCCGGTTTCGGTCCCAGGCCGTTTTTCACCAAGGGGAGGTTTACTAAAGGGAGGTTTGTCCACCGCCGAGTATCAGAAGGCGCAAGGGCTTCTCAGAAGGCCCGGCGCCTTCCGAGAAGGCCTTTTCCTGTTCTTTCCATTCCCTCCCTCGCTCGCCCCCGAGAAAAGCCAGGGCTCCGATGCGCCAGCCGCGGCAGAGTGCGGTGGCGGATGACTTGATCAGGTGTACCTTGGTGTATTTCCCTTCTTGCGTGCAGGATATTCAATGTGCTGACATACAGTGCTTCACAAGCGGGGCCGAGCACATTTCCCTCGAGTTGGTTATTTGTTGCGCCAGACTGCGGGTGGAAAAGCTTGCGGCGTCACACCCTTCGTTTGGAAAGAGTGAATCGCACCATGAAGGCTCAGAGGTTAGCCCTCGTCGACCAGATCTACCTGATCGCGCCTTCCAATCCGACCAGCGCGCATTGACTCCGTCATAAGCTGAGCGGGTTCCTTGACATGCTGCCGTCGACGATCTTTCCACAGAGGGACCCCAAGCAGGTGGCAGCATTTCGACCCCAGATGTTCTCCACCCAGGTTTGCCCACGATAGTTCGCGTTCGCCCCTGGAAAAAAGGAGTTCGACAGGGCCGCCCACGTGCCGTGGTCCTGATAGACCTGCGCTTGCGCGTTTGGCCGTGTGTCTTTGCTTGATTGCTTGCGCTCTCGTGGTTGCGTGACCGTTGGTGTGAGCACGGCGCTGCCGTTGAGCATTTGGAGGGTTACAGCACGGGGAGGTCGTCCGCGAGTTGTTTTGGAGGGTTGCGGGGATCCTGGGGGACTGTTGGGGAGACGACAGAGTTTTGGAAAGGTTTTGAACCAGACAGCAGCGAAGCTGTATCGGGATCCCCTGGGCGGCGCGTTGATCCTCTTGGGGTTCGCCTGGAGTTCTTCGGAAGCTCGCTGCACGCATTCAGAAAGAAACATGTTCGACTAGAACTAAACAGCTCACAATGATAAATCAGTGGAGGGGCCTCGTCGCCCGAAGGCTGCCAGCCCAGAGGTGGTCGAAGGGTGATATTGGGCAATCGCGCGGCGTGTTGGCCCAAAGTTGCAGATAATTGCGCGAGTGTGTTTCACAAGTGATCTAAATCACCCTGGCGACGTACCCAACCCCTGCGCAGTGCGGGGCACGAGTAACCTGGGACACGTTATACAGAGGTGATGATGTGACATGGGCGCATATCATTCTGCGCGCGGCATTCGCAAGGGCTCGCAGCCCCCCAGGGATGGCGAGGCCTGGCTCAGATCTGCGTGGTGCTTCCCTCGGCTGGACCCGCCAGCAGCCTTCGAGAGTGGCGACAGGGACGGCGAGATCTCGCTCAGATCCACGCGGTGCCCCACTCCGCTGGACCCACCAGCAGCCCTCGAAAGTGGCGGCAGGTTCGTAGATCGCAGCCCCCCAGGGACGGCGAGGCCTACCTCAGATCTGCGCCAGCCCTCGAAAGTGGCGGCAGGTTCGCAGATCGCAGCCCCCCCCGGGATTGCGAGGTCTACGTCAGCTCTGCGCAGTGCCTCACTCCGCTGGACCCACCAGCAGCCCTCGAAAGTGGCGGCAGGTTCGCAGATCGCAGCCCCCCAGGGACGCCGAGGCCTACCTCAGATCTGCGCCAGCCCTCGAAAGTGGCGACAGGTTCGCAGATCGCAGCCCCCCCCGGGATTGCGAGGTCTACGTCAGCTCTGCGCGGTGCCTCACTCCGCTGGACCCACCAGCAGCCCTCGAAAGTGGCGGCAGGTTCGCAGATCGCAGCCCCCCAGGGACGGCGAGGCCTACCTCAGATCTGCGCCAGCCCTCGAAAGTGGCGACAGGTTCGCAGATCGCAGCCCCCCAGGGACGGCGAGGTCTACATCAGATCCGCGCGGTGCCTCACTTCGCTGGACCCACCAGCAGCCTTCGAAAGCGGCGACAGTATCGCAGATCGCAGCCCCCAAGGGACGGCGAGGTCTACCTCAGATCTGCGCGGTGCCTCACTCCGCTGGACCCACCAGCAGCCTTCGAAAGTGGCTTCCTGGGGGGCCCTTAGGGGGCCTCATGGAGCCTCTTGGGGGCCTCGTGGGGCCGTCTGGGAGCCTCTCGGTACGGAGGGCTTGACATGTTCGTTTGATTCCCCTGTCTGGGCACCCTTTTGGAGCCCTCTTGGGGGCCTCTTGGGCCGTCTTGTAGGCGTCTTGGACTGTCTCGGGGCCCTCTTTGGCCCGTTTCGGGACCCTCGTGGGGGCCTCTTGTGGCGATCGTTGGAGCCTCTTTGGGGGAAGCTGAAAAGGCGAGAACGCCCAAACATTTGAAAAAACTCAGAAAAATCCATGAATGGTGCCTCTTGGGGCTCCCTTGGGAGTGCCATTCGAGGCCTCTTAGTGCGTCTTCCAGCCACCTTGCGTCGTCTGGAGGCCGTAAGGACGTCTTGGACCGATCGTTCGGCGATTCGGGGTCCTCTTGGACCGTCTTGGGGGCCTCTTGGGACACTCTTAGCTCGTCTTGGCACTTGTTTGTGCCCCGGCCCCCGCAGGGGAGGGTGGTATTCTGACCCGGGACCCCCCACCCCCCCGCGATCCCCCCTTGGGACCCCCCTCCCCCCCTGGCGGGGAAGGGATCAGAGGGAAGAGGTTTTCGACTCAACTACGACGTTGCTGAATCTCGCTGTGGCTGAGTTGCTTGAGGAGACGTGCGCGATGAAAGAGGGGGGAGAAGCGACGCGCAGGGAAGGGGGAGGCGCGGCGGCGCTTCTTTTTCCCAGAATATCGTTGCGACATGTTTTATTCAGTCTGGCATAGCATCCTTTGTAAGTGTATGCAGCTTTTTGCAGCAAATCCTGCCCGCCGCGGTGTGAGCCCAGCATGCATGAGGTGCACGGGTGGCCCTCTTGTGTAACGTCTTGCGTCCCCAATTTTAGGAGAGCCGCGATGAGGATGCGGATGGTACATGGTTGTTGGTGTTTGGTGTTTTTGTTGGTTGTTGGTTGATGATGGTAGTGGTGATGGTGGTGGTGACGGTGACGGTGATGGTGATGGTGATGGAGACCTCTTGGGACGTCTTGGCGCTCTCTTGGGAGGCCATATTGGCGCTCTCTTGTGTCGTCTTCGGGCCCTCCTGGCCGTATCGGGAGTGGGTTGGGGCCGTCGTGGGGCCGTGTTGGAGGCCTCTTGAGCCATCATTGGGTCCTCTCGGGCCGCCTTGGGGCCCTCTTGGGGGCCTCTGGGGGCTCAACCTCCCGAGCTCTTTGAGATTCAGGAGATCGGCGGCGAGCCCGGGGGGGGAAGTGAGAAGGGGCGGGCCTTCTCGGAAGGCTCGGAAATCCACAAGCCTTGTGAGAAGTTTTCTGGGACCTCCCCGAAGACACAGAAAACCTCTCAGAAGGCGCGAGGGCTGCTGAGAAGCCCCGCCGCCTTCTGAGAAGGCCTTCCCCCCCTCTCACTCCCCCCCCCCTCGCTCGCCGCCGAAATTGGATGTGTTGCTCTTGGGGCAGATGAATAGGCAAGCGCTCGACAGGATGGCTCCGGCCACGCAAGGGGAAGCTGGGGAGGCGCCAGGCAGCCTCTGGAGCATTGACACAGCGGCAGTCGAGGAAGTCTTCGATAGCGTTGTGAGTGTGCGTTCGTTCGACCCAGAACCCCAACGGCATGATTTTTGCATGACGTCGACCCCCAGAGGTGTCGACTTGTTCCAGGGGACCAGATTGTCATTCCGAGCCGATTTTGTTGACGGTCCCGAGGCCCGGTAGGGGTCCCCAGAGGCCGGAAATGGCGAAGAGGATCTCGCCCCCCCTGCTCCTCTTCTGATTTTTCCGTATCTCGCACTGCATGTTCCTCAGACACAACAGCTGTTTTTACGCATCGAGGCCACGTGCGAACCCTACCCCTGCCCCCCACGATTTCTGAGGGGGAGGGTGGGGTTCACGTCGCTCGGGAGAGCTCCCGAGCGAAGTGAACCTCCCCCTCCCCCTCAGAACTCGTGGGGGGCAGGGGTACTCCGGATTTCGTAATAAAGGGAGGTGGGTCTCATTTCGGGGGGGGTCTCTTCCAGGCTATCTTGGAGGGCCTGGGGGGTCTGGGGACAATGTTTTGGAGGGTTCTCCCACGGGGGGGGGTCTGAAATGGTTTGTCTTGGGGGGTCCAGACCCCCTCCCTTTTATTACGAAATCAGGGGTAGGATTCGCATGTGGCCCCCTCATCGAGGCCGCGGCCTCCACCGCCACGCCCAGACGGGCGCGTGCGGGCGCCCGCGCGGCGTGCGCACGGCTCTGGCGTTCGAGGAGGGAGGAGGGAGGGAGAGAGGGAGGGAGGAAGGAGGGAGGGAGGAGGGGAGGGAGGGAGGAGGAGGGAGGAGGGAGGAGGAGGAGGAGGAGGGGGGAGGAGGAGGAGGAGGAGGAGGGGGAGGTGGAGGAGGAGGTCCGGGGCTTCTCCTGCCCGCGCCCAACCGCCCTCGAGAGCCGCCCCGCGGCGCGGCGGGGCCCCCCGTCGGGCGGTGGCGCGCCCGGGCGGCCCGCAGAGGCGGCCGAGGGCGCCCCGCGCCCGGCGATGGGGGCGGCCATGCCGATCCCGGACGAGGCCCGGCCCCTGCTCTCGGGGGCTGCAAAGAGGGGGGTGATGGCTAGGGGGGGTGATGACTAGGGGGGTGATGACTGGGGGGGTGATGACTAGGGGGGGTGATGACTATGACTGGGGGGGTGATGACTAGAGGGGGCGGCAAAGAGGGGGGCGATGACTTTAGGGGGGGGGATTTTTCCCCGGCGCCCCTTCTTATTTCATTACGTCCGCCTCTTCTTATTTCATTACGTCCCTGGCGCCCCCGCTGGGTCGCGCACATGCCGCCGGTCATGATTTGCACCCCCCCCCCCTCTTGGACACCCCCCTCTTGGCCGCTCCCGATCGAGGGAGGACAGAACCCCCAACATTTTTGGTCTGCGGGTCGAGAGCGGTCCTCTTCCGGTTAAGAGCTAGGCGGGGCGCGCAGAGCATTAATTGGGGAGACAGGGCGCGGGCGGGCGGGGCTTCAGGCGGCCGGAGGGCGCGGGGTGCAGGCGGTGCCGAAAAGCTTGCACAGGAAAAGGTACGCCTTGGACAGGAGCCGGAGGCGAAGTCCCGGAGGGAGAGCGAAGTGGTGTTGCCGTCGACGGCGCGACAAGATCCCCAACAGTGACACGTCGATTTGTGAATTGTCCGTTTTCGGTTCTCGAGAGGGCGCCGTGGCCGTCAGTTTCCAGGCTTGCGCCCGCCAGGTTTGGGCCTCAGGTCGTTTTCACTAAACCACGTTTTACTAAAAGGGGGTCTGTCCATCCCCGACTGCTCGAGGGAGGAGGAGTTCTTGAGAACGTTGAGTCGGGCCTGTTTCCTCTGCGGGAGGAACTCTTGAGAACAGTCAAAACATAGTCGGGGGGAGGTGTCTCGATGATTTGTTTTGAGTATGTTGGAGTATTTGTGTTGACTATTTTTTCATTGTTCCTTCACCATCCGCCTGTTAGGACATGCCCGACCTAACCTGGCTCGAAGTAGCAGGAGTTCATGCTAATGATGTCAGGGGCGACCAAGACGGAGGTGGGGACTAGGGGGGAGTGGATCGCATGGCGGGGGCCATGATATCTCCTCAGAACTCATGGCGCCTCTTCTTGTTTCAAAACGGTCCCTTGCCCCCCCCCCCCCCCCCCCTGGGCCGCGCACATTCCGCCGGCCATGAGTAGCGCCCCCCCCCTCTTGGACGCCCCCTCTGGGCCGCCCCCGAGGAGTTCATGATGATGATGATGAGAGGTCCAAGCAGGACTGGGCTAGGTCGAGGACAAATCCCTCCCAGCGCCTTCCGGAACACTCTCAGGGCGTTCCCGAACTCTCTGAGAAGGCCGCGGCGCCCGATGCATCCTCCAGAGCCGCCAGATCTCGGAGATTCTCGATTCATCTTCACCCGAATGTATCATCGTCTTGGCTTCGTCTTACCAAGATCTCCAGGATTTCCCCGATCCCCTAGCGTTCCACATGGGCTTCAGAAACGAGGGTCGCTAGATACCCTGGAAATCCTGGAACGTGTCTTGAATGAGTAATATCATGAAGTGATTCCCATCCCACTTGCGCCCCTCCCCTCGATTCAGAAGTCCTAACACGGTGCAGTGACCACACTGTCGGGGGAGCCAGTGGGGCCTAGGGGTGGCCGCGCGGCTTTGGGTATTGGGCGTGCTCTCCGAGAATGTCTCAAGCGATTGGGGCCTCCATCGTCCCCAAATGTTGGGAGAGTCAGTGGGGGTTCGGGGTGGCCGCGCGGTTTGGGGATTTGGGCGTGCTCTCCGAGGATATCTCAGGCGATTGGGGCCTCTCAGGAAGGAGGAGAGAGGACGGCGTTTCTGGAGTTTCTGCCTCATCGCATAGCGATAAAGATATACCAATCCGCCAGCACCTACTGCGGTGCGATGACCCGCTTACTTCTCTGAATGGTCTGAGCCTGGCTGAGCGCCTTTGGCCAGAGCCATCAAGAGATACGTCGAAGATATTCGCTCCCATTGGCGGTGGGTGTACGGCCAACTTCCCAATCTGTTGAGAGGCGTACACCCCGCACACGGCGCAAAACCAAATTTCCAGCCCAGCGTGGAACCTGATTTGATGGGTTAAGTGAGCCCAATCCCCCGCAACATGGACCTATTTACCCTGGGGGGTCTCATATGAGTGCCATCTACGTTTACAAGACTCGTTCGACCACTGTTGTCGAGTTGGTGGGCGGCGGCGAAAGCAGCACATAAAGAAGGGGCGGGGACTCGGACAGGTCTCTTGATGGACCGTCGGGGCTTGGTTCCCAACCTACCAGCTTTGATATTTAATTGGCGCTCGAACTCCAGGGCCTCTACGGTGGACCTGAGGAGCATCATCCGAACCTCATCCGAATAAGAGAAGCACGGTGCTCTGCAACCTGAATGCTCTGTATCACAGCTTTGCTCACTCGATGTTCGGTTGTCGCGAGAGCGGCCAATTCATTTGCATCCGTGTTACCATACGCGAAGGCACGATAAGAGTGGCCTTGCACAAAATCATGTTCGGTCTGGTGCGATCCGGTCCACGTGACAGATGCTGATCTCCACGGGATCCCAAGCGGCGACCGATCTCGTGCCAGAGGTCAGCATCGGGCCTTTCGGGCCGCCTGGGGTGCCCGCTGTAGAATTTCAAGTAGACGCCCTCGCAGTCAGTGACATACATGGTGGAAGTCAGGAGGAGGAGGGCAGCCAGCTCGCCACGTACCACAGCCTGGTGCTCGCCATGGAGGGTCCCTCAAATGGCGGCTTGCAGCTCCATCTCTTGGAGGTCGTGGAAGCTTGCGATGGCCGCCACGCCTACGCGTCGAAAGTGAGGATGGCCTGGGTGTCCTCGTCCACTCGCGTCGCCGAAGATGTAGGCCACCCCTCGGCTCCTGCGCCCCAGGCACCCGCCACTGGCCTCCTCCATCCCGAAGGTGGTCCAGGAGGGGGTGGCACAGGGAGGCGGGGGAGGGCTGTCCAGGCGCTAGGTCGGGGGCCGCGGGTCCAGTAGCACTCCAGGATGCCTTGCTGCGCCGTGGCCTCGCTGACCACGGAGTCCGTGGCGTCGTGGACGGGCATGGCCTTCGCTTGGTACACACCCAGGTGCGATGGAAGGCCGTCGCATTCTTCCCTGGGCATCTGGGGCACATGCCGTCGGAATTTGCAGTAGTCTGAGCTTGGACACGTGCCTTGGGCCAGGCGCTGCCAACCGCCATGGTCAGCATGATGGCAGCTGAGCGGGCCTCATTCTTCATCTTCTCGAAGTAGCGGAGCAGCTGGCGGTAGGACGCGTTGTCAATGGTTTGCGCCATGTTTGAGCCGCCATAGTGTTCACTGGCCTGAGTCCAGTGCCTGTCCATGACGGTCTGGTCGAAGTGCTCAAGCAGCGCATTTGGTATGTCGACGGTGGCGTGCCCCGTCAGGTCATTGGGGTCGAATTGCCAGGTAGTTTGGTCGGTGTTGTTCGGGGCAGTTGGCGACAGTTCCCATCCGTCGGATTGGTGAGGTTGACAGGTATGCTCCATCATGTACAAGATATGGCAGATTGTGTGCCTCGGACATGGCGTACCCGCTGTGTTGGTGGAAGCTGGCGGAAATGGTCTACGACCTTGGCCCAAGTAAATTGAGTGATCTTCTGCATGGCCCCAGCCTGGATCCAGGTGGTGAGCCACTGCTAGGTGGCCTCCCGTGGGAAGCGTCGGGCTGGATCCCTGCCGTGCGCCTTACGATCCAGCAGCGCGGTGAGGCATCTTCCCTGGAGCCGAGGTCCGAGGGCGTCGGCAAGGCGGCGGCGGAAGGTCACCATATGCGGTCCGAAAATAGGGGAACGACGGATGACACGAACCTAAACAAAGCTCTGAGGTCCGCGCTGGACCCCCTCCTTGGCGCCCCGGGCACCAGAGGCGCCGCCAGGGGGATCCAGCGCGGATCCGAGAAGTCCACGCGGACCTCCGACTTTTCATGTTCATGCCAGTCTTCGTTCCCCTAGGAAACCCCGTAGATTTGGTCGCCGTGCCCTCCAGCGGCTTGACCGCCTGGCTCGGCAGCGCGGATCCGAGAAATCCGCGCGGACCTCCGACTTTTCATGTTCATGTCAGTCTTCGCTCCCCTAGAAAACCCCGTAGATTTGGTGGCCGTGCCCTCCAGCGGCTTGACCACCCGGCTCGGCGAGGCGCCCCCCGTGACCCTGCAGCGCCGCGCCGCCCTGGCGAGCCTCGCGGGCTTTGCGGTGCACGAGACCGTGGCGAGCCCTCTGCTGGCCGCGGTTGGCCCGACAGGGCTCATTTCGACTTCTCCGATTCGATTCGATTCGATTTCTTCTGATTCCGATTCGATCCGACTTGGGATTCCGATTTGGATGCCGATTCAATGAAGGCCTCTTAGCCTGCCGTTTTCCGCCGACTAGACTTGTTCCACTCCGCTGCCGATGTCCGCCGATCCGATTCATTTCGTTCGCCGATCCGACTTGTCGATTCGATTCCGGGCTCACCTGGCCCGAGCGTGGCGGACTCCAGCGCCGAGGTCGGCGCCCAAGCAGCTGGCCTGGGCCTTGGCGAGGACCTGGAAGCCCTGGCGTCCAAGGCCGCGCCGTGGCGGTGGCGGTGGTGGCGGGCCTCGCCCACCACCACCGCCACCGCCTCCTCCTCCTCCTTTCCTCCCTCCTCCTCCTCCTCCTCCTCCTCCTCCTCCTCTCCTCCTCCTCCTCCTCCTTCCTCCTCCTCCTCCTCCTCCTCCTCCTCCTCCTCCTCCTCCTCCTCCTCCTCCTCCTCCTCCTCCTCCTCCTCCTCCTCCCTCCTCCTCCGCCTCCTTCTCCTCCTCCTCCTCCTCCTCCTCCTCCTCCTCCTCCTCCTCCTCCTCCTCCTCCTCCTCCTCCTCCTCCTCCTCCTCCTCCTCCTCCGCCTCCTCCTCCTCCTCCTCCTCCCTCCTCCTCCCCCTCTCCTCCTCCTCCTCCTCCTCCTCCTCCTCCTCCTCCTCCTCCTCCTCCTCCTCCTCCTCCTCCTCCTCACTCTCCTCCTCCTCCTCCTCCCTCCTCCTCCTCCTCCTCCTCCTCCTCCTCCTCCTCCTCCTCCTCCTCCTCCTCCTCCTCCTCCTCCTCCTCCTCCTTCCTCCTCCTCCCTCCTCCTCCTCCTCCTCCTCCTCCTCCCCTCTCCTCCTCCTCCTCCTCCTCCTCCTCCTCCTCCTCCTCCTCCTCCTCCTCCTCCTCCTCCTCCTCCTCCTCCTCCTCACTCCTCCTCCTCCTCCTCCTCCTCCTCCTCCCCTCCTCCTCCTCCTCCTCCTCCTCCTCCTCCTCCTCCTCCTCCTCCTCCTCCTCCTCCTCCTCCTCCTCCTCCTCCTCCTCCTCCTCCTCCTCCTCCTCCTCCACCCTCCCCCTCCGAGCTCCCCTCCTCCTCCCCCTCCCTCCTCCGAGGCGGCGGCGGTGGCGCCGCGCCGAGGAGGCCTTGGCCAGCAGCCGACTGCCGCACCGCTCGGCGCGATGCTTTGCGCGCGCTGGGGCAGGCCGTCGACCCAGGCCTCCTCCTCCCCTCTCCTCCTCCCCCTCTCCTCCTCCTCCTCTCCTCCCCCTCGTCCCTGGCGAGGTTGGAGGCCCTTGGCGCCGAGCTCCAGGCAGGTGCCGAGGCGGCACCGCAGGAGAAGCTGCCGCACCGCTCGGCGCGATGCTTTGCGCGCGCTGGGGCAGGCCGTCGACCCAGCGGCGGCGGTGGCACCGCGGGCGCCAGAGGCCGGGCGAAGGCCAGCAAACCCGTGGCCACCAAAACGAAGCTCTGGGAAATTGTCTTTTCTTCGGGGAAGTGGCTCGTTTAGTATTTTTTTCATCGGGGAAATTGCTTTTTCTTCCGGGAGGTGGCTCGTTTCCTATCTGGCGCGCGGGGTCTGCTTCCGGGAGCGTGTTCTCTCTTCCCCCGGGAAGACCGTCTTTGCGGCCGCGGACGTGCCAGCGCTCTCCCAGCCTCCGAGGGTGGGCGATTACCAGTTTGAAACAGAATCCCTATCCCTATGTTTGGCATCACCTCACCTCGATGCCAATCTTAAAGGATTCCCTCAGTTTCCGAGGGCCTGCCCCTAAGATTGTCCTCGCTTTTTGCTCGCCCATCTTAGGGATAGGGATACGTTCGAGGCTGGTTATCACCACCCACCAAACCACCCCAACCCAACCCGAAGGCCCAAATTTATCCTCGATTTCCAGTGGGGGGGGGTCGGGGAACGTTGAAAAAACACATGGTATCCGTACCCCCCCCAACCCGAAATTCGGGTCAAATTTGGGTCTTCGGGTTGGGTTGGGGTGGTCTGGTAGGTAGTCAGGTTAGGCGACGGTGACCCTCGAGGCTCTCGGGCCGCCGAGCCCGGAGAGAGGCCGCAGGCATCGGCGGCGAGCGAGGGGCTCCGCCTGGACCGCAGCGTCCCCGCCAGTCTGGGTCACGGGGCGGTCGCCTTCCTCGGCGTCGCTCGGACGTGTGATGTGTTTCCTCGGTGTAGGGCGACGAGATCTATGCATATCCACTGCTCCTGGCCAGGCCCATCCTGGGCCCAGGAGCTGTGTATATGCCTCCCTGGCCAGGCCAGGAGGGCGTATACAACGCTCCTGGGCCCAGGATTGGCCTGGCCAGGAGCAGTGGATATGCATAGATCTCGTCGCCCTACGGTGGGGACCATCGAGGAGCATCCTTGATCCTTTGGCGGAAAAGCCACGCACGAAACCGAAAAAAAAGCACAGGGAATGGGCGTCCGAGCGATGGCGAGCTTCCCGTGCTCGGGCGCACGGAGTGTATGCCTTACTCTGGGTTTCTCGCGAAGCTTGGGGGGGTACCCCCCCGGCGGGGTCAACCTCGCCTCGTCGTCGCGCCGCGACGGGGGGTCGGAGCGCCTCTGGCGCGCGGTGGCTGCCCGCGACGGGGGTCGATGTAGGGCTGTCGGCGGGGGTGACGACCCCCAGACGCTTGTTAAGAAACTCGGAGTATCCTTTTCCCCTTTCTACCTTCCCTCCTCCCGTCCCTCGCCGCTTGTCGGCGGCGAGCGAGGGGGAGAAGTGAGAAGGAGAAGGCCTTCTCAGAAGGCGGCGGGACTCCTCAGAAGCCCCCTGGCCTTCTGAGTGCTTTCCTGCGTCTTCGGGGAAGGCTCAGGAAGTTCGTCAGAAGGCCAGGGGACTTCCGAGCCCTCTGAAAAGGCCCGCCCCTTCTCACTCCCCCCTCTGGGCGCGCCGCATATCTCAGGCCAGCAAGCCCAGAGAGACCGTACAGTGGAAACCCATGCCAAGGAACACCTTGCTTGCCTCCTGGGTGTCTTGGGTTTCGATGGTTTCGCCATGGCGAGCGTGACGTTCCCACGCCGAACATCGATGGACGCCCTGGTGTCGCAGGCTTGGGTTTCTTGTGGAGTGCTTCTTGTGGTCGGGCCCCTACTGCATGCAGAGGTCGGGGCTGGAGAAAATGGGCTTCGGGGTCGAGGGCCGACCGCCGGCGGAAGGCAAGGGAGGGGAGCCAGCCCGGAGCTGGCAGTGTCCTTTGGGAGGCGTCTCCCCGGCCCCTGACACCGCCGCCGCCGCCGCCGTCATCCTCGTCGTCGTCCTCGTCGTCGTCGTCCGAGGTCTTCGTCGTCGTCGTCTTCGGGAGCGGGTAGGGTCGCCGGGAACTCACCACCCACCAAACCACCCCAACCCAACCCGAAGGCCCAAATTTATCTTCGATTTCCAGTGGGGGGGGGTCGGGGAACATTGAAAAAACACATTGTCACATGGAACCCGGACCCCCCCCAACCCGAAATTCGGGTCAAATTCGGGTCTTCGGGTTGGGTTGGGGTGGTCTGGTAGGTAGTCACCCCCCGCTCCGTTCTTCTGGGTTCCTTGGCATCGCTCGGACGTGTGCATGCTTTCTCGGCGAGGATCATCGAGGAGCATCCTGGACCATCGAGCGAACAAGAACACGCACGAAACCAACAGATGCACGGGAACTGGACGTCCGAGCGACGGCAAGGCTCGCTCTCCCCCATGAGTCACCCGCCAGGTGGTGGCGGCATGCGGCGCGAGGTGCCAGAAGAAGGCCGTGTGCGGGCAAGCAGCCTGCGGCGAGGCTTTCGGCGAGCGCCCGCTTGGGTGCAGAGCTGTCTTTCTGTGCTCGGTGAGTCGCTGGTGGGTCCGATTGACAGGGAACTGATGCGACGGCACAGAGCAAAGCGCAGGCATGGAAAGCGAGACAGAGAGGGACAGAGAGAGAGAGAGAGATGGAAAAGGATGCGGTGATGGTTAAACATCTACACCTTTGGGCCGACCAGAAGACCCCGGTGCCAGTGAGAATGCCGAGGAGGAGGAGGAGGAGGAGGAGGAGGAGGAGGAAGAATCGAGGAGGAGGAGGAGGAGGAAGAATCGAGGAGGAGGAGGAGGAGGAGGAGGAGGAGGAGGAAGAATCGAGGAGGAGGAGGAGGAGGAGGAGGAGGAGGAGGAGGAGGAGGAGGGATCGAGGATCGAGGATCGAGGATCGAGAGGAGTCGAGGATCGAGAAGGAGGACGGCCCTCGCTCCTGCGACTGCGGGCGCGGCTGGTCTCCCGTACTTCAGACTGGGGCGTCGATGTGCGAGGAAGCGTCTGCTCTGCGTATCCCCCGGCGCCTCACAGGGGAGGAAAAATTCACACCGACACCATTAAATCCTCGATTCCCCAGACAAATGAGGGAAAATATGGCGAGCCTAACTCGGCGAGCCCCGCCGCGAATGGCGAGCCTAACTCGGCGGGCCCCGCCGCGAAGGAGAGGGGGCCTCGAGGGAGGGGGGGGGGGAGCTTGCAGGTCGCCGCCGTCGGGCCCGTGGGGCCCTCCCAGGCCAAGGGACAGTCAGAGAATTATGCAGGATGAAGAGCGAGTTGGATGGTGGCGTATCGGGTTGAGGCCTTCGCGGACGAGAGCGTCTTACGATAGAAGATGCTATCGGAGTTCGGCGTGACGGCAGGTGAAGCCGCCGTGAAGTCAGGTGTGCAAGTCCTTCTCCAGAGCATTGAGAGGTTGCACAATTCACCTGGAAGGGCATCCCTGGATTCAACGAACTCCCATGTGCCTAAACAGCGAAAGCCAAGGCGGATACTAAAACACAAAATTCTAGACGATTCGCGTAGCCCTACCAGCCCATCCAGAGATGATGCCCAGAGGATTTGCCTCGATCAGGGAAGTGGGCAGCACGTTGATGAAGGGTCCCTCTTGAAGCGCTCTTGGGACACACTTGGGCGCTTTTGGGGCCGTCTTGGGGCTCTCTTGGGCCTCTCTTGCGTCTTGGTGGTCTCTTGGCGGTCCCGGGGGCCTCTTGGAGCGTCTCGGGGAGCCTCTTGGGGCCTCTTAGGGGTCTCTTGGGAGCCTCTTGGAAGCATCTTGAGCGCCTCTTGGGGCCTCCTGGGAGCCTCTTGGGGCCCTCTTGAGGCGCTCTTGGGAGCCTTGGGAGCGCTCTTGGGGTCATCTTGGAGGACATCGATCAAACAAGAGGGGAGCATCAATTCGCGTAGCCCCTGGGGAGCCCAAAAAATCGCCTCTTGGGGCGTTCTTCGGGCGCTCTCGGAGCGCTCTTGGGCTCTCTTGGGGCCGTCTTGGGACTCTCTTGGGCCTCTCTTGGACCATCTTGGAGCCATCTTGGAGCCATCTTGAGGCCTCGGATGGCCATCGGAAGCGAAAAGGCGAGAAAGCAAGCTTACGCTACCGAGAAACCCCACATATTTCTATTATGGCTGGAGTGATGAAGCATATGATAATTATGTTGGTGGCCGTTGCCCCGCCGATACCGTTGGTGACGCCCGTCAAGAGGAGAGGAGGGAGGAGAGTGGAGAGGAGAAGCGCCGCGCCCGCCACACGTTGCGAGCCCGAAACGGATAGCGACCGCACCCCCAAGCCCCCCCCCCTGCGGCGTGAAGGAAGTGCAACGCCTGCCACACAAGCGCACCCCCTGCGGCGTCGAGGAAGTGTCACGCCTGCTACTCTTTGCGGGCCCGAAACGGATAGCGACCGCACCCCCAACGCATTCCCTTCGGCGTCGAGAAGTTGCCACGCCTGCCACGCTTTGCGAGCCCGACACGGATAGCCACCACACCCCCAGCACACCCCCTTGTGTCGTCGAGAAGGTTCCACGCTTGCCACGCTTTGCGAGGCCGAAACGGATAGCGACCGCACCCCCAGCGCACCTTCTTGAAGCATCGAGAAAGCGCCACGTCTGCCACACGTTGCGAGCCCGAAACGAATAGCGATCGCACCCCCAGCGCAGCCCTTGTGGCGTCGAGGAAGTGTCACGCATGCCTCACGTTTCGAGCCCGAAACGGATATCGACCGCACCCTCAGCGCACCCCTTGTGGCGTCCAGGAAGTGCCACGCTTGCTGGGTTTGCGACAGTGTCGTGGATAGCGGCCGCGCCGAGAGACTACCCCCTGCACACCCCCCATGGTGTGCAGAAAGTGCCGCGCCTGCGAGGCTTTGCGGCAGTGTCGTGGATAGCGGCCGCGCTGAGAGACCACCCTTTGCGCACCCCCGGTGGTACCCAGAAAGTGCCACGCCTGCCAGGCCTTGCGACAGTGTCGTAGATAGTGGCCGCGCTGGGAGACCACCCCGCTGCGCACCCCCTATGGTGTCCAGAAAGTGCCACGCCTGCGAAGCTTTGCGGCAGTGTCGTGGATATCGGCCGCGCTGAGAGACCACCTTTTGCGTACCCCGTATGGTGTCCAGAAAGTGGCACGCTTGCTAGGTTTTGCGACCGTGTCGTGGGTAGCGGCCGCGCTGAGAGACCCCCCCTTGCGCACCCTCTATCCAGAAAGTGCCACGCGTGCTAGACTTAGCGATAGTGTCGTGGATAGCGGCCGCGCTGAGAGACCCCCCCCCTGCGTACCCCCTTTTATGGTGTCCAGAACGTGCCACGCCCCCAAGTGTCCAGAAAATGCCACGCTTGGTAGGCTTTGCGACAGTGTCGTAGATAGCGGCCGCGTTGAAAGACCACCCCTTGCGCACCCCTTGTGGCGTCCAGCAAGTGCCACGCCTGCTAGGCTTTGCGAAAGTGTCGTGGATAGCGGCCGCGCTGAGAGACCATCCCCTGCGCACCCCCTATGGTGTCCAGAAAGTGCCACGCCTGCGAGGCTTTGCGACAGTGTCGTGGATAGCGGCCGCGCTGAGGGACCATTTGCTGTTCACCCCTATGGTGTCCAGAGGTGCGGTGAGGTGCTGTGCTGAGCCGTGCTGACCTGTGCTGTGCTGAGCTGTGCTGAGTTGAGCTGAGCGCTGAGCTGAGCTGCGCTGTGTGAGGAGGAGAAGGAGGAGGAGGAGGAGGAGGAGGAGGAGGAGGAGGAGGAGGAGGAGGAGGGGAGGTGAGCCTCTCGGGTGCGACGCGGCAGGGATGAACACCAGAACCCCACCAAACACGTGGTGAAAAACATGGATTTTCTTCAGGTTTTGGGAGGAGGTTGTCCTCTTCGGGGCATCCTAGGGGAGCTCTTTGGCCACTTGGAGCCGTCTTGGAGCGGTCTTGAGGCCTCTTGGAGAATCTAGGAAGCCATCTTGAGGCATCTTGGGATATCTTGAGCCGTCTTGGAGGTCATCTTGGGCTCTCCCAGGCGCTCTTGGAGTCATCTTAATCCGTCCCCCCCCCAGGAGGCCAACATTTAGTGGCCAACACCTTGGTAACATCAATGCTTTGGGTATTCTCGCCGCGGCCTCTCTGTGCGTCTTGAGTGCCTCTGGGGGGCCCCTTGGGGCCTCTTGGGGGTCTCTTTGAAGCCTCTTGGGGGCATCCTGGGGGCCTCTTGGGGACCTCTTGAGGCCTTCTGGGCACCTCTTGAGACTCTCTTGGCGCGCCTTTGGGAGCCTTGGGGACCATCTCTGGGTCATCTTGGAGGACATCGATCAACCAAGAGGGCTAGAACATAAACGCGCGCGAAGCGCGCGACGAGGGCGATGTATACATAAAAGTGCACGCGCAAGGTCACGCTTATGTATGTGTAGATGTATCCGTAAGGGCTTCGCCCCCTGCCGCCGGCCCCCTCTCGGATAATTGGTCATGCAAGAGCTAAATCATGAGGCCTCGGCGCCGCCGTGAAGCAACATCGGCAAGAGAAATTGAGATTCTGGTGATATTGTTGAACTCAGCGTTGCATTTTGAACCTGCCTCCGTATGCTGTGCACTGGGGTTTCCCGCCGAATTTCAGAAATGTGGCAAATCCCATTGGTTGTGGGGGGTGCCGCCGAATTTCAGAAATGTAGCAAATCCTATTGGTTTTCGACCCTGACCCCGCCGATCTGCGTGAGGGGTGCCGCCGAATTTCAGAAATGTGGCAAATCTTAAGTACATTACGAGCGTGTATGGTTTCCCGGTAGAGATTGAAGTGTAATTTACAAGGGCTTTTGGCTTCGAGGACGAGAATACAGCGTACTTTTAATGTAATGTAAATGGGTTGATGGTTTCGGAGGCGCGGATAGAATGTAATCTACAAGGGTTTATGGCTTCGGATACGCGAATAGTGAGTAATTTGCGATGGTCTATGGCTTCGGGGTCGCAAATATAGTGTAATTTTAATAACAGGTGTATGGTTTCGGAGGCAAGACTATTGTTTAAGTTACGAGGGTGTATGGCTTCGGTCACGCGATTATTGTATACTTTACGAGGGTTTATGGCTTCGGGGACGCGAATATTGCGTGATGTATGAGCGTTTGTGGCCTCTGGGACGTAAGTCTTGCTCAATTTGCGAGGGCTCATGGTTATGATTTGTGAGGACACGAATACGGTATAGTTTGCGAAAGTTTATGGTTTCGGGGACGCTAGTATTACAAAATCCACGAGGGTGTATGGCCTCGGGGGCACGAATATGGTGTATGTTGTTAAGGTTACTGGCTTCGGGGACGCGACAATTGCGTGATTCACGAGGGTTTAAGGCCTCGGGGACGCGAACATTGCGTAAGTTACGAAGGTTTATGGCCTCGGGGGCGCCCCCAGACATTCCGAGAACCTTCCCAGGAGACGCTAGGTTTGCTGGTTTTCGGTTCCCCGCCCTCGCGCGGTCTACAACAAGGAACAGTAAGCAGCATAAAGCAATGCTATAACAGTGGAAACTGGAAACTGGAACTGGCGCAGGGAACCGCAAACCCTGGGCCTACAGCCTGGTGGCCCTACGAGGGGGCCGGCGGATACCGATATTCACACACATACGTACCCAGGTACGTGTTCTTAGAATGATGCATATAAGTATTTCGATCGAAGTGCTTATGTCCGTATGTATATACAGACTGCCAATACCCTGCGGCCTCCTCCGCCGACCCTGACAAGAGATTAGCAAGAGCGCAAGAGCCGGGAGGGGGCCGGAGAGGAGGAGGAGGTGTTCGAGGAGAAGGAGGAGGAGGAGGAGGGGAGGGGAAGAAAAAGAGGAGCAAGACATATAAGAGGAGAAAAGGCAGAAGAGGGAATCGTGAAGGATGATCGGGCGCCTGGAGCGCAGGCTCACGAGTGTCTGCAGCAGAGGCAGCAGAGGGGAGAATCGGAAAGCATTGGAGGTGGAAGTACCGGAGAGAAGATGCCGGCATCCTCGCATAAATGGCGACAGGGACAGCGGATTATAGTAGACATGCATGCTGGGGGTCTCCGACGGCTAATTGTCAGTTGCAGGTGTTGGACAGCGACCGCTATCGTTCAGTAGAGGGTTATATATTGGTTCATGTAGCCACGCTCCCGATTGCTGCATTGGGTAATGAATCTGCCAGCCATCTATACCTGTAATTCGATTCCGATCAGTCGAATCGAAGTTTTACACACGCAGGCCTCAACCATGTTAGAAGAGGTCGTGGTATCTTCTTGAGAACTCCAGCGCTACAGCGTCCTTTCCGCATCTGAATGCCCAAGAGTTTCGTTGATCTTCCGTCGAGTCATCTTGACAGCGGTGTTCTGCTCCGAGAGGCCGTGTGCGACATGGATAAGCTGATCGACCTCGGCCCTGGCGCGGACGAGTTCGGGGAGGCGGTAAGCGCAAGACGGTTTCACAGCATCGCAAATTCCGAAAGTGAGTTTGGTCTGTGTTCTGCCATTTTGACGGCGACAGGCATTTAGCAATTTCCAACTGCGGGCCGTTGTTATAAACGCTCTGCGGACATGCGAGCTTTAGCATGCGATGAAACACTTGACCGGAGCGCCCAACAGATTTGTATTGAGACATTGGAAGGTAGGATTGCTTGATTACGTCAGAAAGACATCCTGCTCAACATTGCAACCTCGAAGCTCCTACGCCCCATCCCCCCCCCAGTTCGCCACAGTTGTTGTGGCATCGTTTTGAAGGAAGGGATCCCAGCAGACTGGGTTGTTCCAGGAGCTGCTCAGGGGGAGTGTCCAAGCAGGTCCGAGTTTTACAGTTGATTGTGAGGCCCTCACTCCTGCAAAGAGATATGATGCACTAGTCGTCCCCATGGGCCCAGTTGGTGTCACAGGAAATGCGCTCACTTGCTGCTTAGGCTGCGCAGGGCGTTTCGAGGTCTGCTCGGCAGCAATCACCCTGCGAACATGTCAGGAGGGGATGCTACAGCGACGATCGCTTGGAAACGATGGTGTCGCTATTATCGGATCGTGATTGTTCGGCAGGTTGATTTTGCCCAGAGACGGTCCAGGGGTTACAAACCACAGAACAGCAAACATACATTGAAGGTGTGCATCATGCTTGTCAAGAGCTGCTCCCACCAATTCGGACGGCAATCCACGTTGGGAGCATCGGCGATTTTGGTTCGGATTGCGTACTGCGCGAGGCGAAGGAAACGTGGAATTGCATGCCAATGCCGTACATGTTTCAATGTGTATCTATGTGGGCGGGTTTGCTTCAGCGGCGCATGGGGTATATCATATACGATGAGATCCAAGAGCTCTATACATTCCCCCGCGTTGAGTTCCATTCGGAGCACAGCGACGGCCGCCATGGTACCATCTGTTTCACTTGCTCTAGACGCTTCGCGTAACCCCACCAGCCTATCCAGAAACGATGCCCAGGCGAGTTGCCCGAATGAGGGATGTGGATGAGCATGCGGCAATGGAATGCGGGGCTCGGGAAGCCGACATACCCCAAGAGGGGGAGGGATGGAGGAAACATCCGAGGAGGAGGGGGAGGGGGAGGAGGGAGGAGGAGGAATGGGCGGATTAGGAGGAGGAGGAGGAGGAGGAGGGCAAGCAGAAAGGCCAGAGGCCTCTTTGGTGCCTCTCGGAGTTTCTTCGGATGTCTCGTGGGAGCCTCTTGGAGTCTTCTGGAGGCCTCTTGGCGGTCCCTCTCGGAGTGTCGTGGCTGCCTCGGGGGGGGGGGGGGGGGGGGGCACCCTGGGGCCTCTCGGAGCCTCCTGGGGACCTGCTGGGGGTCTCTTCGGGCCTCCGTGGCGCCTCTTGGGGCACTCTCGGGCGCCTGGGGGCCCATCTTGAAGGACGTCGATGCAAGAGGGGGGGAGCTCGAAGTGGCATCGCCCACCCAGGAGGCGAACATTTGCCCAACACCTAGGGACATCCGTGATTGTTGCATTCTCGGCGGGGCGTTTTTGGACGCTTCGCTAGCGGAGGATCGGAGGAGGGGTAAACCCCTCCCCGAAGAGGAAGAGAGGGGATTGGAAGAGGAAACTCGCTGAACCACTCACGCTCAGAGGGCTGGTGGGATTTCACTACTCGTGCGATCCCGTCTCGATCTTCTTTTCCAACATGCTTCGCCTCGCGTATTTATTATCTTTCTCTTTCTCTCGTGTTCTCTCCCTCTGTCTCTCCCTCGCTCGTTCTCTTTCTCTCTCTCTCTCTCTTGCTCTGGCGCCGAGTATTGTGGCACAAGCATCGGTTTTCACGCACACCTTCACGGTGAACTCGAGAGGATTGTGAGTTGTCGCCAGAACGCTGAGCTATAATAGGTGTCTGCTCGATCTGTTAACAAGGTGTTGCCGAGTTTGCCGCGTCTTCATCGTTGTTTAAACAGCTGAAGCAGTTACGATAGTCGTTCGACGACACGCCTTGCATACGGACGGCGTTACCACCATCATGCTCTTTCTAGTCCACCCCGTCTCCCTAAGTGAATGTTTGGATGTGCGCACTGCTCATCACAATCTCGGTTGAGGGTCGTGTTTGGATGTGCGCACTGCTCATCACATTCTCGGTTGAGGGTCGTGCGTTGGCCGTGCAGGTGGTTGGTGTGTTGCCCATCGACATGTCGTTGCCCGCCACGGCCGTGCCCAGGGACCAGATCGACGCCAAGCCGCGCCTCGGGTCCGGACGGGATCGGAATATTACATTACGTTGCAAAGACATGTCGTAAGCATTCCGATGTCTGCCGGTATTCCTGCCGACCTGCCTGGATCTGCAGTGATTGTTGACATTGCCATTCTGCTCAATCGCCACGTCTGTGGCAAGGGTCCTGCATGGTGCAGCCAATTCTCAAGTTTGTGTCCGTTCTGTTGGGGGCCCACATCCCCCACCGCACACACACAGACACACACACACAGACACACACAGACACACACAGACACACACACAGACACACACACAGACACACACAGACACACACACAGACACACAGACACACACACACATACACACACACACGAACGCACGCACGCACGCACGTACGCACGCACGCACGCACACATATACGCACGCACACATATACGCACGCACGAACGCGCGCACACACACAATCACTCACTCACACACACACACACACTACACCGACAACACACACACACACACGCACACACACACACGCAGACGCACGCACGCAGGCACGCACGCAGAGACACACATGTACAGAAACGTTTACGGTAAATGATGGTGGGGGGAACGAGCCCTAGCAAGCAGCACGCTTTCGGAGCCGACACCACACCCCAGCTTGCATGGCCGGCTGTCTCTTGCTCGAGAGGCGCATTTCGTGGCCCGCAATGGCACGTCAGGCGGAAAGGCCTCCGCCTCCCCCAGCTTCCCCTTCTTCGCGGGCAGGTGCGATGCTGCGGCTGGTGCCCAGGGGCTGCGGGCGCCAGGCGAGGGCCCCTCGCCTTGGCCCAGGGGGGCGCCCCGACGGACGCGTGCGAGCTGTGTTGCCTGCTGGCGCACGTGCGCAGAACGCCTGGCAGGCACGGCGCTCGCCTGGCCTTGTCGACCAGGTGCACCACCTCTCGGCGGTCATCTCGGCGCTGGCGGGGCCCGCGGAGTCGTGGGCGATGCCTCCGAAGGTGAAGGCCAACGCGAAGGCTGCGCCGAGAGGGAAGGCCAAGGCCGAGGCCGCCCCCAGGGCGAAGGCGAGGGCGAAGGCGGCGCCAGCAGCGGGCTCCCCGCAGGCCTTGCCAGGCGCCGCGACGGGTGGGGGGCCACTCACCTGTGGGGGTCGAATGTAGACCTTGTGCTTGGCTAATCCTACTCGTATTAATAACGTTCATTTACTGGGCGGGGCCGAAGCTGCCGCGCTGCCGCACGCTCCCGCGTTGCCAGGGCTGCTGGCGCCGGCTGGAGGTTCAGGAGGCGGCGGACCGCCACTAGGGGGTGCCCCGCCTGGCCTTGGTGCGGTTCTCGTCGGAATCCTGCTCGCAGGAGGGCCCCGGGCGGGCCCGCGGGCGCGCCGCCTGCTGCTGCTGCGCCGCCTGCGGCCTCTTGTTGCCGCAGGTGGAGGCGCGCGCGATGGCACCGCGTGCCCTGCCGGCGCCAGGAGGCACTCAGGACGGCATCGCTCTCGCCCCTTACGTCGACGGTCCGTGGCTCAGCGCGGCGGTGGTGCAGAACGCCTGGTTGACGAGGGGGTTCGTGCTGGAGGTGCCGACGCACGACTCGACCAGCGTGCTGCACGGGACGTGCCACTTCGAGGTCGAGGACGCGGGAACGGCCGGCCCCCAGGGGCTCTGCTTGTCTGTTTTCTTCAGGGGTGTTTCCCAGCCTGCGTGCGCGTTGGAGCTGGACGGCGCGTTCTCGCCGCCAGGCGCCGGCGCTCCAGGGCTGCTCCACCTCTGCGCCGTCGGCGCTGCCGCGTGCGCTGTGCCCGCCGTGGCGGGCCGCGGCGAGAGGCGCGTCGAGTGGCCGCGGCTGCGGTCGGCGCGCAGACTCGTGGAGCCGCGTGTTCGCCCGACCTTGCTGCCGCCGCGCGGGCCGCCGCGGGGCGCCGCCTCGACAGCGGGAGCGCCTGCTGCGGCGCGGCCCCCGGAGGCCGCCGCACCTCGCCGCGCCGACGCTGGAGACGCGGGCGTCGATGGCGCCAGCGGGAGGCGCCGAGCGGCAGAAAGCTTTTTCCTTAGCCTCCGGTGGCTGTCATTGGTTCCAGACCCGGTCCCCCCGATATGCCCCGCGCCCGCGAGTGCGCCGACCAGGCGTCCTTCTGCGTCGCGCACGGGCAACGCCCAGAGCTGCGCGGGCCTCGTTGCTCCGCCTGGCTGACTAGGCGGAGGCTGAATTCGCCGCCGCTATCGGCGCTCGGCTGTTTCCCCTGGCCCGACGCCCAATGGTCGCCAGCTGGCATGGCAGAGTTTTTTTGGCAGGGACATGGCTACCAAAGATGCTGACCATGATGCGTCTCAGTGGCTTCGCACGCTATTTGCGGCCGTGGTCTCGCTCCTGGAGTCGAACCGAGGTTGCGGCGCTGGCGTGGTTGTTTTTGCTGCCAATCCTGCCCTTGCCCACCCGCGCAGGGCGCGACGCTTTCAGGGCGCCCAGAGGCCGCCACGGCGGAGGCCCCCACGGTTACCGCGCAACGCTCGCGCCAGAGCTGGCAAGACTGAACCCGCGAAGAATTAAACGAAGGGGCCATGCGCGTCCACGCGTGCACCTCATGACCCACCCCCCTTGGAAGGCGACTTCTACCCATTCGACCGGCGGGTCCACGGTTGAGGTCTCGAAGTTCTGAGATTTCTGGGGCGACGGCCCCTGGGCCAGCAAAGATCGCTCCGCCCTCTGTCCCGCGTTTCCTCGGGGGCCTGCTGGAGATGTCCGAGCTGCGTCGCGGAAAAACAAGGAAAGGATCCGTTGGTTCGTACGATGGGTTATGTGTTGACACTGCCAGTATCGCAGCGGCGATGCTCTCGCCGTTCTCGCCATCATGTATGGAGTCATGGAAGCTCTGGGCCAGCCCCCTGAGCAGTTTTCGGCGGTCGTGCTTGTTCTTCTGGCGAAGCCAACTGGCGGTTGCAGGCCGATGGGTGTTCTGCTCCCGGCGTGAGGTATGGGGGCGTCCTCGACGTCCCTTCGCCCTATCCTGGGAGCAGGAACGCCCCCGTCGGCTCTGGGCTGCCGGCGGAAATCGCGGGGCGTCGGACGTCGTGCGGCGGCAGAGTGTTCGAGTTGAGCATGGCATGGCCAGCAGTGAGGCTTCGTGTAGGGTGCCTTATGACATGCTCAAGTGTTTTGAGACGATAGGTCTCAGCATGCCGATGGCCAAATGCACCCGTCGCATCTTTCCTTTGTCAGTTGCGCGCCTTCTGCATGCTTGCCTTTGGCCGCGGGCGCTGTCTGTCCTTGGGGGGGGGGGGGGGGGCATCCTTGTGCGGTCCTACTTCGTGGACGCAGGGGCGGCGGCGGGGCGTTCTCTCGCTGCCACTTTTATCCGGGTGGTCGCGTTCGACGCGTCTGATTCTATCTTGAGGGCCCCGACTATGATTTGGACAGTTACATCTACAAGTCGGGCCTGGCTGCCGCGAGCCCCATTGCCAAGGGCACCAGTGCCGTCGCAGTTGGATCCCAGGCCGTTCGCAAGGCCGTCACCGTCATGTTAGGAGGCAGCCGCGCTTTGGACAAAGTCCGCACCGCTGCCAGCAGCAAGGACGTTGCCTCGGCTGTCGGGCAGAGGGCTGGCTGGGCGCAATGAAGATGTCACTGTAAATTTTGGCTTGGACTTCCAGGCCAGGAAGGTCGCGCGCGCCTCGGGGCTAGCATGTTGAAGCTCCGTCTTGCTCAGATGTCGAAGGCCCAAGCGGTTCGAAAACGTCGCGGGTTCCCCGGGGCGCAAGTTTCTGCGCATTTTCGTCTCGGGACCTTTGGTTTGCGGGGCGCGCGGATTGGATGTTGCTGGCGTGTGTGATTATGGTTTCTTCCTCACGCGCATGCACGCTTTTTCCCTGGTCAGACCCCTTGCCCAGTCGCGCAGTTGAGCCGCTTGTTGCATTCTTTCTGGAGGCCCCACTTGGAGGGCGGCTTGCGTTCCCACGTTGCGATGGGGAAAGGAAATTCGGTCGGCGCAGACTTGTTTTTTTGTTTTCCCCCGCAGTGCTCATCTCTCGGAGAACTCAGAGATGCTCGGGCCGCGGCGCGGGCTTTCCCCGAGCTTACCTGGGCCACCGTGAGAGGCCCCCAGTTGGCCTCAAGGCTCTCGTTGCTTCGTCTCGGTCTGCGCGCGGGCGATTTGATCGCGGACCCGGCGTTGCCAGCCCCGCTCTGTCTGCCCTTCCTTGCCGCGAGGCCCTGCGTCGCTCTCTTGAGAGGGATATTGGAAGCAAGTGGGGGGGGGGGGGGGGGGCTGCGCCTTCATGCGACGCGCGCCGCGTTGTCGTCAAAGGCCTTCACGGCCAGTGAAAAGGTCGCGGTTAGGGCCTGAGCGCGCAAGGCCGCGTGGACTCCAGCTCGCGCGACCGGCCGCGGATATGGAGTCAGCCCGCCGCGCGTGCACTGCGGTGGCAGGGTCTCGATTCACCGCCGACTTCGGGCGCGCCGGCGCGATGTTGGGCAGCGAGCTGATCCAGTCACAGGTTGGATCAGTGCTGCAGCTCTGGACACAGAGGCAGTAGTCAGACTATTCGGACTTCCGCTTTAGCGGCGGGGCTGTCGCCCATCCCGCCGATGGCCTTCCCGGGCCGAGAAGCGACGGGGGCGCGCAGTTCATCTGACGCCGTGAGGTCTTTGACGGGCCCGACGGTCATGTCTCTCCCAGGGGCGGCCATGCCCGGGCCACTTGTTTCTCGAGCGCTCGTGTCTCAGGCGCGTCAGGAGCTCAGCCGAGCTGCCTGGGCCACCACTACGCATGATTACAACGGGGATCTGATTGGGGAAGTAGCGGGCCCTGCGCGGGCCCAGCATTCCCAGACCGCGCAGGCAGTGGAGTTCCTAACGAGGGCATGGCTGGCACTCTGGCCCAGCTTTCTCCCGCGCTAGTATCCGATTGCCTGAGTGTTGCGAGACGCTCGCAGCTATTTTCTCTAAAAGTTTCTCGGGCAGGCGCGCGCAGCGGGGGCCCCGTGGGGGCCGACGCGCGCGGGGGCAATCACACCACCGACGTAGTCAAGGCCGCTGCTCAGAAGTCGGTGGATAAGAAACTGCCATCAGTGAGTCTGAACGGTTCTGCAGGAAGTGCAACGATGACGCTGGCGCGGCTGCCAAGAGGGCCTTCCACGTTCATCCCATTGACCGCACTGGCCTGGATGAGGTCGATCGCAAGACGGTGATTGCACGGATGGCGTGTAAGTTGGCAGCCAAATTGTTGGCCCCGCTCAGGATGATCGCACATATCTTACATTCCCCCGTCCAAGACCCCAGGTATCACATGAGAATCCGCGCGATTGTTCGCGGTGGGTGGACGGGGGATTGGAGTCGTAGGGTTCGTTTATGAAATTGTCGCGCTGTGGAGTAGCCTGAACCAGGGATATGCTCAGGCGAAAGCAGTGTGGATGAGGGCGTGCATACTGCGCTCCATCACAAAATTATTGCGCTTGCGCGTAGTGACCACTCCCCCCTCTTTGCGTGCATCAAGTGTCGATATCATAGCACTGGTGCCCGCGCCGACGGGCTGGGGCGCGTTTGCAACGGGCATCCCTCCAGTCATGCGGAGGATGCTTCGCGTGACTTGTGCCGCGGCATGCAGCAAAACCTCCGGAGGAGGCATGTGGTCGTCAAGCGTGGGCGCGGCGTGCAAACTGTTCGGCTCGGCTGGAAGCCGTGGCCCAGTGCTTGACCGCAGGCAGCAGGCTTCCTCACCACCCCGAGAGCTGTTTGCCCTGCGACTTGTGCTTTAGGAGGAGGAGGAGGAGGTGGAGGAGGAGGAGGAGGAGTTCAAAAGAGGTGGAGGCGCTCACTGTTCGCTCGGACCCCCCCAACACACTTTCGGGTGCAGATCGTGGGCAGGCCCGCGAGCTCCGAGTCGTCGCGCCGTCTCTTCGCCTTCTGGACGCGGCCACCGGAAACTGCCCCCGCAGCGGCCGGCGCGACTCGTAGCCAGGGTTTGACTAAGCAGTGTTGTTCCGTTTTGGTTTTCCTGGCCCATGCGGCCGTCGGGGGCAGATGCGCAGCGCTCTCCCTGCATGTATTACACTGTGCTGCCTGCCGCTCAGTAGCCATGAACAATACGGATCCTCCTCCTCTTCCTCCACCTCGTCCTATTCCTCTTCTTACCTTCTGCTCCTACTTATCACCCCTCACTCCTCGTACTCCTCCCCAGGCCTCCCTTCCCTGGTTCCCTCCTCCTACTCCCTCCTCTTTCTCCTTCATTCACGTTCTTTCATTTCCTTTTCTTTCCGCCGCCTTTCTCGTGCTCCTCCCTCTGTTTGCTTCCTCCCACCCCTCCACTCCTCCATCCTACTCATCCATCCTTCTCTTCCATCCGACCCCTTGCTTTTGCCCATCCGGTCTACTCGTTCCTCCCACGCCTTCCTCGTGCTGATACCCCTCCCTCCGGCTGTCGAAAATCTTGGCTTTTCCTTGCCAGTTCCAGAAACCAACTGAACCACACACGTTCGGAAACCTGGGCTGTAGTTGCTGAACTTGCGCTTTTGTTGTGGCTGCCTCCCTCCCCATCTCCCGCCGCCCGCTGCCCCCATTACAGTCAACGCGCCTCGTAAGGACGCGCGCCTTCATCTAGAGTGCCCTCGTGTCCTTGCCTCTGAGGCCCGTCCTTGCCATTATCACTGGTCGCCTGCGGGCCGAAAAAACCCAGCTTCGGCCTCCAAGGGTCTTGCGTCCTTATCCCCCGTCCTTACTACACGTTTTGACAGTATCCCTTTGTCCGTGTCCCGGCCGCCCCCTCCCGAGGCGAGCGGCGCCCGGGACTGGCGGCCGCCGCAGGGCCACGCCGCGGGGGTGCGGGGGGAGGGGGGGGGGGAGGTGCGGGGCCTGGGGGGGCACGGAGGAAGCGCACGAGACGCACGAGGACGAGGAGGAGGAGGACGAGGAGGAGTAGGAGGAGGAGGAGGAAAGGAGAGAAGGAGGAGGAGGAGGGAGGAGGAGGACGAGGAGGAGGAGGAGGAGGAGGAGGAATGGAAAGGACGAGGAGGAGGAGGAGAGGAAGAATTGGAGGAAGAGGGAAGGAGGAGGAGGACGAGGAGACGAGGAGGAGGAGGAGGAGAGAAAAGAGGAGAGGAGGAGACGAGGAGGAGGAGGAGGAGGAGGAGAGGATGAGGAATTGGAGGAAGAGGGAAGGAGGAGGAGGAGGACGGAGGGGAGGGGCGGGGCGGGGGTCACAGAGGGCGTCAAGCATGCACAGGGTGAAAGGAAAACAGTTCCGAGGCATAGTCTCATCGTATCCCCGCCTCCTCCACCGGGGGGATCCCAGGCGGGTGTTCCGCAGGAAAGTAGCGCTCGGTGGGGAGATTCCCCCGATCTGTTCGCTGAAATTTTAGCTTCTGTCTTGCTTCTCGTCCTCCTCCTCCTCCTCCTCCTCCTCCTCCTCCTCCTCCTCCTCTTCCTCCTCCTCCTCCTCCTCTATCCTCTCCTCTTCCCGCCTCCCCTGGGGGGCCGGAGGCTGCTCGATTGCAGCGAAGGTGGCTGCAGGGTGTTCGGGAATGCTCTCAGGGTTGCTCCGGAGCGTTCGTCGTCGGGTACGCTGTTTGGGGGGGAGGGCGCTCTTGGAGTCGTCGGGGACGCTTGCCTGGAGCGGTCCCAGAGGGGTGTCTGGGTAGGGTTCCGAGGGGAGGGTCCTGGGGGCGGTAGCCGCTAAATCTGAGGGGGGGTCCCTGGGACCTCCCGAAACATCTTGAGGATGCGCACATCATTAAGAAAACGCCAGATGGGGGACCGCCCCCCCCCCCTCCTGCCTTTCCCCAGGGGGGGTCCGGGGAGGGTTCCGGGGGGAGCCTCCTGGAGGGGTCCTTGGTGCCCCCCGAAACATTTTGGGGATGCGCAGATCATTAAGAAAACGCCAGATGGAGGACCCCCCCCTCCCCCCCTTCTCCGGCAGAGCCACCTCGGCGACCCCCCCAGCAGAGCTGAAGCTCTTGCTTAGGCTCAGAGCTGAAGCTCTTATTGAGGCTCCTTGTAGTTCACACGCCGGATTGGCGGATCTCTGAGCATTTTTGAATTTGTTCGACTCTTGTTTTTTGTTTTTGTCAAAAACCGCCTGTAGGGGGGGCATGCCCGACCTCAGCATAAGCTCCCTCGTCTCCGATGTTGTGTGCCGCGCCGGCGGCCCGCGTAAGCCACCGCGTAAGGTCGCTACGTCACCTCGCGCAAGACCGCTTTTTGATCGTCGCTCAGATGCCCCCTCTTTCCAGGCTCCTGGAAGCCCCTGCTGGGCCTAGGCAGCGGGCCCAAGTCGGTCAGGAGGGCGGCCGAATGGCCCCGCGAGGGCCCCAAGAGACCCCAGACACCAACCAGACGCCCGCAGACGATCTTCTTCCGGGCGTCCGAGACCGCCCAGGAGACCCGAAAGTCGCCCCACAATTACCCAAGATGGCTTCTGGGCAGTCCAAGAGAGAGTCAAGACGGCCCAACAGGGTCTCAAGATCGCCCGAAGAGAACCCCCTGATGGCCCCAAGACGCCCCCCGAAGCACTGCAAATCGCGAGCCGGTCGTTCAGGGAAACTGTGGTTGGAAACAGGGTGCCCCGAGGAAGCCCCCAGGGACTCCCAGGAGGCGCCGCGGAGGCTTGCAGAAGGCCCCAAGAAGCCCTTCACGGTTTTCGTGAGTCCCCCAAGGGGCTCTTCCAAAGAGGAGCCTCAAAAAAGCTGCGGACGGTGGGCGAATTGCATGTTATAGCCAGAAGGAGGATAATGAATCACATGAGTATAGCGACGATGTCGGAACAAGCAACAAGGAGTTGTCGATACAGGTTAGGTGTTACGTTCTTACCCCTGTGCCTGCATTCCAAATATCAAGGACCTAGGTGCATGTTGCGAAGCGCCAGCGCAGTCTTGTGTATATGTGTGTGTGTGGATATGCGGATGTGCGACGGGGAAGAACAGCAACAGAAAGCTGCATGTACAGTGGGGGCCCATGTCAAGAAACACCCTGCTTGCCTCCAGGGTGCACTGGGTTTCTTGGGTTTCGACGGTTTTGCTGCGGATGGCGTGACGCTCCCACGCCAACAATCGAGAGACTTCCTGGGGTCTCAGGGATGGGTTTCTTGTGGATGGTCTCTTGTGGTCGGGCCCCTACTGCACGGCAGGTTCGCGTCGTGCCGACCGGCGGCGACCCCACCGCGTGCGTTTAAGGTTTAACGCCGCCCGTGGCCCAGAATCGGCCCGTCGTTGAAAGATCCGGCGTTCATGGAACGTCCGATCGTTACAGTTTGAACGATTCTCGCGGTGTCAGGAACCAACGCCGGTGTCGACACGACGCGAATTTGCCGTATACGTCGTGATAGGTTGGCGAAACGCGTCACGCATCTCCCGCGGCGAGGCGAGGCTGGAGCCTTGCAGCGTGGCGCCGCTGGCTGGGCCCGTCCAGAAGCTGCTGCGCCCTGCGCCCGCCGACGAGTCCCAGGTGCCACTGCTTGTACTGGGAAGAGGGCAGTCACATAGAATTAAGGCGGGCCTGTCCCTCTACAGGGGGGATGCTTAACAATAGTCAAACAATAGTCTGGGGACGATGTTTCGACTATGTTTGACAATCTTTGAATCTGTATTGGCTTTTTGTTCGTCCAAAGTCTGCCTGTAGGGGGACACGCCCGACCTGATCGTATTGGGAAGCAGGCATTATCGTAGAGGCGCAGAGCGCTCATGCTTGCAGTCGCATGTTCCGATTGTGTGTTCGGCTCACTTACCGCCGCTGAGAAGAGGGAGGGCCTGGCCCATTCGAAGTGACTTCGCCGAGAGTCTTCGGCATGGGGGCTTCAGCGTGAGGGTCCTATAAGAGGGGGACTTTTGCGATGGGGTTTTCGGCATGGGGGCTTCAGCGTGAGGGCCCCGGGGCCCTTTGCGATGGGACACGTGTGGGCGATGGCAGAGCAAGGCCAGTACAGTTTAGCAAAACGTTCGCCGCCCGCTGCCCCTCTCCCTCTCTCTCCCTCTCCTGGCCCTGGCTGCCCGAAACTGGCCTTGGTCCCGACCAGCGCTCCGGAGCGGTTCGACGCGGCCTGTCTCGTCTGCGTTCGCAACCCGCATGCAGCTAGGGTTAGTTTGGTCGGGCATGTCCTCTTCCAGGCGGATTTTGGAAGGAAAACTGAAAATAGCCAAAAAATATTGACAAGACAACTGGAAAAATCGTCCCCAGTTTACTGTTTGACTATTTTTGAATATTCCTCCTGCAGAGGGACAGGCCCGACTTCAAGCCAGGGCGTACTAAAACGTCCGCGCGCATCTCCCACTGTGCCTGCCCCTGCTGCTGCCCTTCGGGAGGCCAGCACGGAAGCGCTGGAGGGCTACAACGACGATCTCGTGCCCGTGATGCGGACGAGGGAGGCTCCGCAGCGGGCAGGTGGTTTATTCCCCAATCAGTGCCTGCACTGATTTCACTATCGACATCATTGAATCGACTTCACTATCGGTCTCACGATTGACCTTACAATCGCCCTCACTATCGGTTCCACGATCGATCTCACTATGGGTCTCACATTCGATCTCAATATCCATAGCACGAACTTTCAAACCAGCCACTGAATAGGTTTTATCTCTGAAGTAATCACTGGACTCGCCTGGCCCCCCTCAATGCCAACTCCGTCAGTCAGACAGGCCGTGTCGAGAAGACACCGTCGCAAATGCCGAATGATGTCCAGACTGGCTTCGGAGATCCGATTTGGAGGATCAGCGCTGAGGGGATCGAGGTGAGTCCGCTTGCCAGCGGGGGCTCGGCGGCGCCAGAGGTGATGAGAAAGAGACGCGGATGCAGCGACGTTGGTGCATGTTTCCTCGACTTGGGGGGGGGAGGAGAGACCAAACAAGCACGCCATCAGCAACGGCTTGTTGCTGCTTTGTTAATGAATCCTTCGTAGCGAAGGAGCCCTCGCTCTCTTACAGGGAAGACTCGGAAATAACGGACAAGTTGGGTTTACGAGGGGCTCGGTGTTCTTGAGGTCATTCCATGGTTGTTCCTCTAGCGCTGCTCGTGCACCAATGCGCTCTGGGGGCCAAAAAGGAGGCACGTTCCTTATCTAGTGTTCAGCGTTGTCGCAGCCGGACTGTGTGCATACCCCGAGTGTCACAAGGGAGGGCGCAGCTCGAGGGGAGCGACGAGCGCAAGGCTGCAACGGGCGACACGACGGAGATAAGAGAGCGTTGTTCGTATGGGCCCCGAGGCAGTGGCTGTCTGGTGCAGGGTCTGCTCAGGGTCGTTCCGGGCCGTCGGTGCTCTCGGTCTGCCCGGACAGTGGCGACGGGCTCGAAGCGAAGAGAAAGTAGTGCAAGGCACCATCAGTTGCCTCAAGACAACCCTTGGGATGATAAGGAGGTTTGGGGGTTGATGGGTACATGTGTTGGTTTGCCGTTGGCGTCGGATCGAACTTGCGACTTCTCATCGAACGACCTGAGTCATCTATCGATATCCTCATCGAGCGGCCTCACCAGCTATCAATCGATCGATTTCTTTCTATACATCGACCTCGACCTCGGCATCTGTCGATCTAACGATAGATCTGTCTCACGACGAGAATACGGGTAACAATATGCATTTGCTTATCGGCTCAAAGTGAATAGTCAGATGTGACGGCCGATCATACATGTATATATAAATATATACAGACATGTGCATGTATATGTAGATATGCGTGTGCTCGGATGCACAAATATATGGCTACATGTACATGTGTACATGCTGTTTACACTTATATGTATGCGTGTCTATATCCGCATCATTGCCTATTTGTATCAGTATTGCCATGCCGTTTTGAGTGTAGATGCGCATGCGTATCGATCATAGAATACGACATAGTATAATAGGTTGTAGGATTGCATCATGTATCGTAACCGAAAATACCATGTACCATAATCGAACAGGATAAACTAGCATATAACAAAATAGAGTAGACTACGATGGTATAATCAACTATTCTATAGTAGTATATAGTACATTATAACAAAATATAGCATGTTGTGATGCTGTGAGATGATATGGTATGACGTTATTGTAAATCCATGTGTATACTACCACAGAACTTTACATCTGATGTAATATATCCGGACACAAGATGATACAACATTGGGATATAGTCTAATATGATTAAATGTGACATAATAGAATATGGTACCATCTAATCTGGTATAACATATAGTCGCACGGCTACAATGAGCACGACTATATACATCGAACACTGACTTGGCACAACTCTGGGCCCGGCCGGGGAGCCTGTTCCCGGAGCGCCCCAGGAGGGCCCAAGATTGCCCCAGAAGACCAGATGACCCCAAGACGGCCCCAGAGGCCCCCAGGAGGCCTCAGGAGGGCACGATGAGCGCACCAGGCGGCCACGATGGGCCCAAGATGGCCCAAGATGGGCTCTCGACGGCCCAACGGGCTCCCCAGTCCAAGAGGGCCCGAAGATGGCTCCCAAGAGGCCTGCGGGAGGCACAGAGATTTGCAACATCGGTCTCGTATGTTGGGTCAAGTTGGTTAAGGTGGCCTTGTTGTCCGTTGCCAGGACCTGGGGGAGCACTGAAAGCGCTGCCCTCCCAACGATCTTGGAACATGGTGACTGACGTGTGGAACATTCAGGCGTGGTACGCAACTACAGGCCTTCTTGCTTTGATTCACTACTGGCCTTCGGGGGATCAGGTGAGCGTGCGCATCCGGCCATGGGGAATACCCACAGCAGCGCTGCAGTGCTTGAGGAGGTGGTCGCTATTTCTGTGGGGGCTCCTGGCTGCTGTCAGCGGCATGTTGGTAATGTTCCAACCTTGCGCAGACATGATCGGCCTGCGATTCTGCTTTGCAGCTCTGATGGCGGGGCTCGACCTGAACTTCTTCTCTGCTCGGAGGGTGCACACATCATTCATCGGGATGTACAACTCGTTTGCGATGGTCTTGCCAGCAAGTTACGGGCGCAGCGGCGTGTTGACGATCCTGCTAGCTCACCAGTTCTTGTCCCCCGGTCTCAGCAAAGTCCGAGTGGGAGGTCTCAGGTGGCTCTCTGCAGAGACGCTGGCCTGCTATTTGCGCAACGCGCGAAATGCCCCTAACAGCAATCGACTGTGGAACAACTTGGATGAATATTTCCGCCAAGGATGGCTGATCGATCGAATTTTGGAGAGGTCCTGACTCTGCTCATGCCTGTGCGTTGCAACTATTGTCATCCAGGTCTTTATCGCGCCTGCGTTGATCTTGGTGCCCAGCTTGCACCTCTATGCCTTTGCCATGGTCACGGCCTTCATCGTCGGCGTGGCAGTGCTATTTGGCTTCAACTTCTCTTTCCACATTGCGGCAGCATGGGTTACGCTATTGCCGGGCGCAGACACAGATCCGGGTGCCTACCAGGTGACACCCGTCACCGTTGCAGTAGGAGCCATGTTGGTAATCACCTCTGCCATCCATCTCGAGAGTTGGCCGCTCAATTGTCATGCGCTCTTCTCATACAACTACGAGCAGTTGCAGCGCTTGTTGGACATATCAGTTGGCAGTTGCAGTTTTGTCCTCTCTTGGAAGGATGAGCATGCTGGAGAGGCGATTGCTGATCCCCTGCTGAAGTATGATCGGTGTCTGATTGGAGTAGCTGCCAGCGCAGATCCTCTTCCCAGCATCTATCATCATGAGTTGGTGCGTCTCGTGGGTGGAAGGAGCTTTGGCTTTGAAAAGGATCCAAGCGAGGATGAGTGTCTTGAGCGATTGCAGCATTGGGTGTGCGAGCGCGACAGCTTCCTCCATGGAGAAAGTCTTAGACCATTTGACATGGTAGAGCTTCTTCCACTACTGCTGAAGAATTGACGCGCGCTACAGGATAGCTTTAGCCCAAAGCCAATCAAGTTTCTGATGGTGCTTTTTTGATGCTGTCTCGTAATAGGGAGTTCGCAGGGGACCCCCCAATCAAGAAGATTAGCAACACTTATAGTATTCCCGAACGCTCGGGACTGCGTGTACTCAGTCTTTGTTATAGGGGGGTGGCTGTCGCGCCGTTACAGGCCCATTGATTTTTTATTAGGGATCCGGGCCTTGGGAGCACGGTCCTATGTTTTTGTTCCCCCCTTGCCCCGTCGTTGCCTTACCACGACTCGATTCCGAGACGCCGCTGAACACATCAAGCAGTGTTCCCGCTCCTTGCTTCGCTGGGACCGTGGCCCCAGGAGCAAGGGCCCTGCGCTGGGCTCGGACGTGTGCATGTTTCCTTCGGCGAGGACCATCGGGGACCATCCTGGATCATTATGCGAAAAAAAAAACGCGCACGAAACCGAACAAAACGCAGAACATGGACGTCCGAGCGATGGCGAGTTTATGTAGCGAAGCACCATGGCCTCGAGAGCAATGGGCTTTGCTGCTGTTCCGCCGAGGGGACTGGGGCGGCGGGGAGGTGCGCGCAGGTGGCTGCGACGAGCGGCCTCGCATGATTTTCTTTGGGGCATCCTGCCAGGCAGCCCCTGGAATCTCTATCCACGCCCCCACGTACCAGGGTAGGGGGCCACATGCGAACCCTACCCTTACCCCCCACGATTTCTGAGGGGGAGGATGGGGTTCACTTCGCTCGGGAGCTCCCGAACGGAGTGAACCCCACCCTCCCCCTCAGATCTCGTGGGGGGTAGGGGTAGGGTTCGCATGTGGCCCCCTATTTGGGGCATCCTGCCAGGCAGCCTCTGGAATCTCTATCCACGCCCCCATGTGCCAGGGGGAACGGTGGCGGATACGGCAGAGGATCCAGGAGCTGGAATCGGAAGGGTGGTGAAGCAACACTCTGGAGGAGCACAGGTGCAAGTGCATCTCGCCATCCGTCGCCTTTTGCAGGTGCTGAGTCTCTGAGACGGCTTGCGTGGTTGGATACCATCGCCAGTCTCTTGACCCATGTGCGCTTCGGACTGAGATGTCGGATTTCAGTTCGTAAGTATTTTCCTATTGGACGCTTCGGGAGGACCCCGCCGTTGAGTTGTTTTTTTCTTGGACGGCGTTCTCAATGGCGCGGAGAGAGAAACACAAATGGCCACGGAGGGCCTCAAGACCAGCCCAAGAGGAGCCCAAGACGGCCCCAAGACGCTCCAAGAAGACCCTTGAAGGGGCTCCAGGCGGTCCAAGAGGGCACCAAGACGACAACTGAGCTGGATCCCCACACCGCCCCAGAACAGCCCCAAGAGAATCCCAAGACGGCCCCAGAGGCCCCAACCGTTCGAGATCGTTGGCTGCGGGAGTGCTGTCGTCCCTGCGGCGCCTCGCGCCGCAGGCGGCGCCCCCGGCCCCCCCGACGCCGGCGGGGCCCCCGCGCTCCGCCGGCGCGTCGCCGCAGCCGCCGCAGCTCCTCGACGTCTGACGAGCGCACCTCTCGGCGGGTTCTAGGATTCTAGGTCGGCCCGGCGCGCGCTCACAGCTTAGCCTTTGATTCGAAAGATGGTTGAGCCCCCCCCAAAAAAAAGACGGCCCGAGAGGCCCCACGACGGGCCAAGAGGCCCACAAGATGTCTTGAAAAACGGCCTCAAGAGACCTGAAGAGGGCCCATTCGGGACCTTGCATTAGTACAGCGGCGGTCAGAACATCAGTGTGTATATATATACATAGATACACACATACATTCGTACGTACGTACGTACACACATACATACGTACATACATACATACATACCGGCCGACCGACCAACCTGCCTACCTACATATCTACATATATACATGCATGCCCACATGTACAGTCATGCATGAATACATGCATGCATGCATGAATACTTACATACATGGAAGCACATACACATACATGCCTATACACATGCATGCACGCACGCACGCACGCACGCACGCATACATACATAAATACACACGTACATACATACATACATGCATGCATACATACGCACACACATACATACATACGCACACGTGATATGTGCATACATGCGTACATACATTCATGCACGCATCCATACAGACATGCAGACGTGCAGACCCACACATACGTATAGACATACGTGCGCACGCACATACGTACATGCATCCATACATACATACAGACATACATGCATCAATGTACACATGCATTCATCCATCCATATATGCATACACATGTGCATACATAGACACATCCATACATAGGTGCTTGCATGCACGCATGCATACATACATGCATGCACCCATACGTACAGATACACACACGCATACACATGCACGCATACACACATACACATATACATGATTACATGCATACATACATATAGGCATACGTACACACACACATACATACATACATACATACATACATACATACATACAAACATACAAACACACACATACATACATGCATACACGCATGTATGCATGCACGCGTACATACATTGATGTATACAGTGTGCATACAGATGTACATGCATGCATACATGCAGACATGCATGCACACGGACAGATAGGCAGACAGTCAGACAGACGGACTTATTGACATATACACATTTACCTCGGGAAGGACATTGGGCCACAAACCAAGGCCTCGAACCCCTCATCTGGGCCCACCCCTTCCGGGGGCCCCCCTGGGTCGCTCCCCAGCCGCTCAAGACCGCCCTTTGGGGCGCTCCAAGAGCGGCCACGACAGCTTCCAGATTGCCAAAGGGGGCTGCCGAAAGCATCCAAAGGCACCCCAAAGGCGCCCCAGGACCGCTCAGGATGACCCCCTGGCGGCTCCAGAGGTCTCAAAGGCGTCCCGACAGAGCTTCGAGATGCCCCGAGGTGGCCCCAAGATGCCAAAGTCGTCCCATTCCACAAGGAAAGCGAAAATTTTTAACGCATTCACCACTTTGGTCTTCACAGCCTTCAAGACGGCCATCGGCTCCCTTCGGATCGCCCCAAGGCGGCCACATAGGCCCTCAATGAGGCACCAAAGCTGCCCAAGAGAAGCCGAAAACGGTTCCGTAGCCAGTTTGGCTCAAGGCTCAAACCTTTTCCCTGGGGCTTGAACCTTGGTCGCTGCCGAGGGGCAGGCTCGAGGTGCCTCCCAGGAGCGGGTTTACTCTCTGCACGTCTCCGTCCCCTTTCCCTTCCTCCCAGAACGCAGCCGCCCGGATGCCAGAGCATGGAGAGCGCCAGCGCAGCCCGCGGGTGTCGCGCACGCCCGATGCCAGCAGCTTTTCCTTCTGCTCATCACGATCGAAGAGTCGCTTCGAGCGTGAGAGGCGCCGTCCTGCTCAGACAAGCCAGAACGACAAGTTTGATATGATTATGTATTCGCTGCAGGGTCTTTCGCGTCAAGTATCGACATCAGCGAATGACCTCTCCAATATTAAGAACCAGATGGACTTGGCGCAGCTCCGATGCGACCAGCTCACAGCCTCGACGCACACGATGGGCAACGACATTCACTCGCGCATGGTGCAGACTGAGGCAGAACATGCGGCCGCTTTCACGGCCCTGAAAGAACGGATGGACGGCCTCGAGGCTCCGATTTGTGAGCGATTGAGCACACCGACGCCGACCTCGAATGACAGCACGGACACGTCGCCGTCGACCCCATTACCTGTTCATGAGGAGATCAAACACATTGAGGAGAAGCTCGACAAACTATCTCGGCCGCCCTCGGATGTTCACTCGAACATCAGCGAGCGCGCCGCTGCCACCGAAAGGAGCCAGGACAACACCACGAAGCTGCTCATCCTTGGATTTCCCCGACGGATGCTTGCCACTACCTTACGCGCAGTTGGCGAAGCTGTTCGCCAGAGGTCCGCGCCGACGGAACGTCACTCATCGATTACGATTAAGGCCTTCGACCTCACCCGCAAAGTTGCCTTGCACTTCGAGACGCCGTCGGCGGCGAGTGATTTCATCGCCCAGTTTGAGACTGTCGGTGGGTTTCGGCATCCTGACCCACTTTCTAGCTCGCCACTGGTATTTCGTGTTCGCCGAGATGTGGACTCCAAACATCGCCAATTATTTATTTCTATGGGCAAGGTCAGGGCTGCGATGACGGACTTGCTCAAACCCCGTGGATGCGACGTGTTCAGCAACGGGCTTGGCGGCTGCATATGCACTGTAAGGAAGAAGGACGACCCAGCTTCGCTCGCGCAGCTGCGCGCGGTGGACGACGGGAACAAGATTGATATGGAGCTCGAGCTCGATGCCCTCAGGGAGTTCGGGACCCACCAGCACGCCGAGGCCTTCCGCGAGGCCGCCGCCGTCCAGCTTCGGCAGCCCTTTAGGCGCTGAGGCAGGCTGTCTTCCGCTTGAGCGGCCTTCGGCCGCCGCGGGGCGACTCCTTTTTGCCCCCGTCGCGCTCTTGCTGCGCAGGGGGCGACATTGGTGATGCTAGTTCCTCTCTTCCCCCCTCCAATCATCTTCCCCTCGCCCCGCGCGAGCCCTTGTCGGTCTGCAGCGGGAACACTCACGGTCTCTTGTGCAGTGTCCGCCAGGCCTCCTGGCGCGCTGGCGCTGGGTATCAGACTTTCCTCTATCCTGCCCGGAAGTTCCAGATTGTCTGCGGGCAGGAAACTCACGGTCATGTTGGCGATATTGAATGGACCCCGTCCTGGGCGCGACATCGGTTTCTCTATGTTTGAGGACTCTCAGGGCGAAGGCGGGGTGGTCGCTGTCTTGGGTCCTCAGATCAGGAAGCTGTTCACCTCTGTTCATCATCATGGGTTGGTTACGGGGCGGGTTCTTCAGACTACTTGTGCGGGCCCTGCAGGTAACCTCACGATTTGCAATGTCCACCGCCCCAACACGGGAGACACGCTTGTGGTTTACTCGACCGTGTTCAGGGCGATCCGCTCTGCCTACGATGCCGCGCATGAATCACATCGTATCTTCACAGGCGACTT